CCCAACTAAAAATTTTAGGTTTACATTTATAAATTTAAAATATCATTTATTGAAAAATAATATTTACAATCTAAATATTATTTTCAATCATTTAAAAAAAAAAAATTAATAAAAATAAGTATAATTTATTAGGGAAGAAAATCCCAAATATTTTTTTTTTTAATAATTTAGGTAAATTTGTTAGTATTTAAAAATGGTGTCGAGACATTTCAAATAAAAAAACATATAAAACTTTTAAGTTTAAACTATTAACTATAAACTATTTAAAAATAGTTTAAAAACTTAATTTTTTAAAAATTTTTAAAAAATTAAATAGTTTAAAAACTTAATTTTTTTTAAACTCAAAACAATTGATAATCAAAAAATATTTTCATTTAAAATGCAAATCTAAAAGTTTAAGTTTAAAATTGGGTTTTAAAACATTTTAATTTTAATACCTATTTCATTCTACAAAATTATTGGTTTAAATTTGTAAAGAGTCATTTAAATAATAGTCGATAAATTTTTAATTCAAAAATTCTCACATTAAATTTAAATGTTAGTTTGAAATTTTATAGTGGAAATTTTTGGATTAAAAATTTATCGACTATCATTTAAATGACTCTTAAGAATTTTAAACCATTAACTTTTATTTTTAACAAATTTAAATTGATTCTTCTAATTTTTTAACTTTGCTAAAGCTACGTTTACACCTTGTAAATTAAAAATTATCGACTTACATTTAAATGTAAAGTTATAAATTTTGTGTTATAACAAAATAAAATATAATAATAAAATATAATATATAAAAATGTATCAATTTAAATTTGTTAAAAATAAAAAGTTTTTGTTTAAAGTTGTAAAGAGTTATTTTAATGATGGTCGATAAATTTTTAATAAAAAAATTACCAATTTAAAATTGTAAACTTACATTTAAATGTAATGTGAGAATTTTCATATTAAAAATCGTTTAGATTTTTAAACCGATAATTTTGTAGAATAATATATTTGAAATAAAATTTTTAAAAATCAATATTTTTAAGCTTAAACTTTATTTTTTGTATTTTTTTTTTAACTATGATTGTTTTTGATAAATGTCTCACTGTGCATCCTGTTTATTTTTAATCTTACTCTTATTTCCATTTAGATACTACTTAATTATTTCGTGATTCTTATCCCCTTCGTGCATGTCTATGTCAAGGATTCACCCTTTTGAAAAAATCGCCACACGATATTTTGTTTCGGTCATAATTGAAATTTAAATTCGGAATGGACTAATTACCCCTAAAATATCGTAGATCGTAGATATCGACAATAGCCCGATAAGAATTTCGGACTTGACCCCTCGCAATGCTATAGATCGATATTGACCTTGTTGTCTAGTAATTAGCTATTTAGGTGTACCGATTTGTTTGGGCTGAAGCCAATTTTTTTTCTGTTGTGATAAGAGCGCAATAATTTGTTAAAAATAAAGTTTAATTAGAGTGCTATTAGGAAATAAATCAGAAAAATTGCCATTATTGAGATTATTTTAACATTAATTTTGTATTACTTAAAAATAAACCTGGCAACAGTGTTAGTTTACGCATAAATAATCTAATAACATTAGGGTATTTTTTTGACAGTAAACTAAACAAAAATTGTTTTTGTAATAAAATTATTAATTAATCGTATTAAATAAAAAATGTAAAAATATATACATGTATACAAAAATTTGTTAAATTCAGATAATAAAATAATTTCCACATTTTGTATTATTTCACAAAAAGGGCACTTTATTTTGACGTTTGTATGACATTTAGCAACTGCCAACTAACCAACTTCAGCCCAATGACTAAAAAGCCCCAAAGCCACAGCTGCTAACTTCAGCCCGTGACTAAAATGCTATAAAGCCACAACTTGTCGATGCGTATTTGAAAAATTACTTGGTGTGATGGAAACATGTACGATAATGGGCGTTTTAAAGGTGGGAGTGGAACAAATATTTAGAATAAATTATTCTGATCCCGGCGCATTCGCCAAAATTAAAAATAAATTTTATATTTTTTTACTTTTAAAGATTTATATCAATTTTATATCTATTTTGATTGCTATTCAAATTTGTCAAAATAGTTTATTAAGTATCAAGTTTGATAAAAGCCATTTTAGTCACGAATTAAAAACTATACTTCTTCTACAACAAATACTTAATATTATCTAACAAAATAATTTAAATTAAACAATTTATCGTAATTTTCACCATTAGTGTTGCCCGTTATTAAGTATTTTAAATAAACTTAACAATTATTAATACTTTAAAATATTAAAATAACGATTATGTTAAGAAAATATTTTATTCTTTGATTTATTTATTACGTACTATAATTGCAAAATATTATCACAAAGAATCTCAAAATCTCAAATTTTTCTGTGAAAAATATATCCCTTTAAAATAGACGAACAATCGATATAGAAGCAGTTTTTTACAGTAAAAGAGAAGAGAATGTTTTATGGGCACTGTACGCAACATTTTTAACGCTTTATCAGTTAAATCTGGTTATGCACTATTACGGCGAAATCAAAAGGTTAGTACAAACGTTCATATAATCTTTTCAAATATTGGCGTCAAGAAACTATTTAATACTTTTGTATTTTTGTATTGAGATTATAAAATAAAGTTCACATTTAGTACTTGTATACAAAAATGTCACTTTATTTTAACGATTTTATGACATTTGACAACTGTCAACTAACCTAAAACTAAATTCAGCCCGTGACTAAAAACCTGTTGTTAACTTCAGCCCGTGACTAAAGCCCCATAAAGCCACAACTTGTCAATGTGTATTTAAAAAGTCACTTAGTGTAATGGAAACGTGTATTTTTATTGTTTCATATTTTTTGATTAACTTTTTTATTTTTGATGGTTTAAATGTGTTTTTTGAGAATTTCGGTAATTTTTTGAGAAATTTAACTAAATAATGTTTTAGAAGGTTTTTTAGACATTTTTTTACCTTTTTATTACCAACTTTATTTATTAAGGAGGATTTAAGGATGTTTTAGAATGTTTAGTGGATGTTTTGGGATTTTTTTACATTTTTTTCTAATTCTTTGTTAATTTCTTTTTATTTTTAAAGAATTATACACCACGCTGCATTTTAAGTTTAAAGTTATAAAGTTTTTAAAAATTGAATTTTATTTTTATTTAAAAACTATTTATTTTTATAAAATGATGAAAACATTTTTCTAAAAACGTTTCAGAAATAAAAGTTAAAATTTGTTAATTAAAACAAAGTTATGATGATTTAATTTTTTTTACACAAACCATCTGTCAACAATTTAACTTCAAGTCGCTGTAGATGCCTTGTATATTTTGTTTCAATTATTAATACTTTAAGTCGCTGTAGATGCCTTGTATATTTTGTTTCCATAACAAACGTTTTTAGATGTTTTATAAATCGGCTGCAAAATACACAGCATTGCCTAGTTTTTAAACTTGAATGTCTTATAACTCAAAAACTACTTTTTTTTAAATTTCTTTGGCTTAAAATAACTCTCCAAACATTTGTACCGTTTGTGCCATTTTTTGACAATTTAAAAACATTTTATGAGCTTTCAGCTAATTTATTGTAATTTTTGTTTATTTTTATTTCCATATTTTCATTATTTTCTTAAAGATTTCTTTTTAATTAAAATTCTTTTGGTTTCCATAATCTATGGTATTTTATTTATTTTTGTAAATATGTGTCTTATTTATATAATTTAGTATATGCCAATGATTTTATTGCAATACATTTTTGTAAATATGTGTCTTATTTATATAATTTAGTATATGCCAATGATTTTATTGCAATACATGTATTTTAATTTGTATTTTATACTTTTTTAGATTTCTTTATGTCTATAATAAACCTTTTACCAATTTAACTTTTTTCAGTCTTACAACCAAATGATGTTGCAAAATAAAAAAGAAGACAAAAATAAAATAAAAACAATGCCTAAGTAAAATGCAAAAGAAAAACAAAACTCGCACTACGTGTATTTGCATTAATTATTAAAATTATCCAGTGTTTTGTTTTCATCATTGAAAACCTGTACCAACATAATAATTTAAAAGCAATAAGCGAACCAAAAGTAACTCCCCCACGAAAGGCCTCGCTAAATTGCAGCGATTAGCCAAAAGCCCCTATTAAATGCCAATTGTTTTTTTTACATTTGCATGTTTGGAAAGAGCCGTTTAAGGTTTTGTCAACCGCTTGCCATAATTGCAAAGATTAGTAGGTAAACAGAAATTTAATGTTAATAGTTAAAACTGAACATTTTTTATTTTATTTATAATAAATTTAATTTTTTTTTATAAATTACAAACTAAAAGCACAAGAAGTATAAAATATTGTAATTTAAAAAAAAATCTACTTACTTAGATATTATACTTCACGGTGAATAGGTTTTATAATAGGCATCTATAATGTTGAAAACAGAGGTTTTTGCTTGTTTAAAATGATTAAAGCGCCATCCGTTGCATAAAATTTAAAGCAAAAACAGATTCACGGAGGATAGAATCAATTTTTGTAACACCTACATAAATGGTTATAAAAATTATCTCTTTTAATTTTTAATAATATTTTATATTTGATTCGATTGCTTTGGATGTGTTTAATTTACTTGCTTTTGCTTTTACTACCTCAGATATTTGAACACATATAGGTTAACCTAGAAAGAGTAACAGTCACGGAGGATAGGTTTTAGACTTTTAAAACATTGTAAAAAATAACGAATTGCGGTTAAAAATCTGGAACCTGAGCTGTAATATCTACTTAACCGACTTTTACCCGACTGCTTAAGCTGAAATTTTGACAGGTAATACTAAGTTTTAAAAATAGAAAAAAATTGTGTATGTATATTAATGTTTTCACCCTTTCAAGGTAATTCCTATGCAAATAAATTGTTATCACTTACAAAATAAATCCCAACATGCAATATTTCCATTAATTTTAATGAGAAGTGTTTAACAGTCCAAATAAATTGTCATTTTTTCATTACAGGCAATGAACTTTTGTACGTCGATGAAAATAGAAATCTGGTTAAATTCAATGTCGAAACAAAAAATAAATCGATCGTATTGCCATCATCAGACGAGGTAAATAACCCAAATTTATACAGGGTGAATCGAAAGTATATAAATTTGTTTTTTTTACATACAGAAGTTCTCTTAATAGTTTTTAGTTTGATATGTAAATTTGTGTCTAAAACAAAAAATGTACTTACTTTTCATCGAAATTTATCGTATCTAAGTACTACTTATTTGTCACCCTGTACATTTTTTCAGCTCCTACAATCTGCATTCGAGTTCAAAGTATCGGCAGATAAAAAATTCTTGTTGGTCACAACGGATTATCAAAAAGTAAGTATAGTTTTATTAAATATCATAATATAATATGGGAAATATAATTAATTAATTAATTTAAATTTAGTTCATATCATAATATAATATAATTATTATCAGTAATAATATTAATTGTATAAGATGGAAATCGAAAAGATAAGTCCAGTTTGATTTATTTTACGTATAGATTATACTTCAAGGGAAAAAATAAGCTGCTGTTGATAAAAATCCATAGATAAATGGCGAAGTTATGAATTTTTCAGTGGAAGACCAAAATTCAGCTTTTTGAGAATTTTTACGTTTTTTCTTCATTTTATTAAATTATATTTTGAATATTAAACATTGAAGATATTAAAAGTTTTATTTTTTTGTAATAAGTTTAAAAAAAACTCTGGCCCCTTCTTTGTTTTTTGTTGCTTTCGTATTCCGTTTCTCGTATGAGGGACCAAATGTAATCACCACAGACCACCCATCATGGCTGCATACCAGAAGCCGTGATACCGCCGCTCCATAGCCTTCATTTGCTGGTGAAAACGTTCTCCGTGCTCATCACTTACGTCGCCCAGATTGTCCGGGTTATTTACGCACTTAAACTATTCATTTTACACTTTTTATTAACTAAATAAAACAATGATAAAAATACCTTGTTGAAATGTCAAAAAATAGCAGTAAAAGTCACCATACCTACACGAGAATAAAAAAAAAATTCATGTTTGCGGAGTCATGTCAAATTTAAATTTTAATGTTTTCGGTAAAAAAAAGTACGTAAAAAACCCATAAGCTTTAATTAAGTTTCCATTAAAGAATATACATATTACAAAGTAAAAGAAAAAAAACTACAAAAATCATAACTTTGTCATTTTTCCATGGATCAACATTAGCTTGTTTTTTTTGTAAAAATGTCGAAAAAAAATTTATCTGCTATAAAAATTTATCTGCTTGATTTAAACCTTTCCCAGGGCAATATGTAAATTTTCGACCTCAATTTTTGCCATAAAAACGAATTTTTAAATTATTAATCGCTAGCATCAAAATATTTTTGCTGTATCAAAAGCATGTAGAAAAAAGTTTTAGAGGGCTTAAATACCTTCAATTTAAGGGCTTGTTTGGCCAAATCGATCTATTATATTTCAAGCTATACTAAAAAAACGTCAAAACACCTCCGAAAATTGAAAAAAAAACAATTGAAAATCCATATCTCAAAAACGCTTCCATAAAAAGTGTGAGAAATGGGCAGAAATTTGTTTTGATTTTTTAAACTAGTGTAATGGGCGTTTCTGATATTAATAAATATCTAGTACATTTTTAAATAATTATTATAACTTCAAAATATCTTCATTTTAAGAAATATGCATTTGAATTTTGAGGACCTCCAGAATTCTTAACAATCTATTTTCAAGTTCTGGGATAATTTAATAAAGTTCAAGAATAATTTAATAAAGTAGTATACCTATACAGTTCTTAACTTTAACTTCAAGTCTTTAAGACAATTTGAGAAATTTTAAATCAGTTAAACATGTATTTTTGGAACTTGTAATTGAAAAAATTGTATACGGACATTTTATAGTTTTAGCCATTTTCTTGACTATTTTTTTTGTCAGGCACCATTTAAGAAAGTTTTAGACAGTTTTATAAAAGTTTTTTTGCTTCTAGTGTCTGGATAATTTTAATCATTTTTTTGCTTCTAGTGTTTATTTTTTCGTTGCGCATGCGATTTTTATATTGCGCATGCATTTTTCAATATTTCATGCAGTTTCACAATTGTTTGGTAAAAAACATCTTAAAACAGACTAATTTAACCTTATTTTTTTTTTTGAAAAATTTAACTTGTTGGGATAATTTAACAAAGTTTTTAAAAAAATAATTCAGGATTGTTTTTTTAATTCACCTTTTTTATTGCGCATGAAATTTTAGAACAAATTGAAACATTTTAAAACAGTTTTACATGTGTTTTTAGAACCTTAAACCACAGAATTCTGTCTTTAAACTGTATATTTTATATATTGCGCATGCACTGTAACCATTTAAATTAAACTGGTTCAGAAAAAACTTTTCTAAGGAATAATTTAGGACAATTTTCTAGTTTATAAAAAAAAGTTTATAAAAAAAAGTTAAATAGTTTTTTATAGAAATCCTAGTAGGTAGATACAATATTGTTTTTCAAGATTTTACAAGAATTCATAGAATTTTTAAAGCTTAACTTTAAATATTGCTCAAGGACAATTAAAAACAGTTTTACATGTAATTTTAGAACTATAAGACATTTACAGTTATTGAGGCATTTTCTCCAAATTCAGATTTACCGGCACAGCTTTCGAGCCCGTCACACAGTCGTGGAATTGGGGGGCAGCGGGGGGAGGTGGGAATTGCGGGCCGGCTCCAGCCTGGACTTGCAGCTCGTGGTTTGGGCCCCCGTGGGCAACGCGCTGGCTTTTGTTTTCGACAACAGCATCTACTACAGGAAATCGGCCAACGAGGGCGAGCCGGTCCTGATTGCCACGGGCAGCCCTGTTGTCTACAACGGCATACCCGATTGGGTGTACGAAGGTAAGATTTTAGTTTTCTACTTTTTTTTTTAATTTAAATTGTTTTTATTGCGCATGAAATTTTTCCAATATTTCATGCAGTTTTACAAATGTTTGGTTAAAAAAAATCAACTGGTTAAGGACAGTATAAAAAAACTTTTTTTAACAATTAATTTAGAAATTTGTTTTGCAATTCTACTTTATTTAAAACAAAATTTCAAATATTGTTTCATAAAAAAGGAGCTTTTTTTAATTGACATATTTTTAACGCGCATGCGATTTTGATATTGCGCTTCCGATTTTATATTGCGCATGTAATTTTTACATTTTCATGCAGTTTTACATTTGTGTGTTGCGACATTTTAGAATAGTTTTACATGTGTTTTTAGAACTTTCGACAGTATAGAGACATTTTACAGTTTTAGACAGTTATACAAGTTTGTTGAAGCTTTTAGGGTATTTTTTGAAACTCTTGTTTATTTTTTTATCTTTTTTTTATTGCGCATTGCTTTTTATATTGCGCATGCAATTTTTATATTTTTTTCGCAGTTTAACAATTGTTTGAAAAAATTGAACTGGTTTAAGGACAGTTTAATAAAGTATTTTACAGCTTTTAAAGATTCATTTAGAAAAATTCCATATTGCGCAGGCATTTTTGTATTGCGCATGCATGTTTTTTATTTTTCACGCACTTTCACAATTGTTTGATAAAAAACATCTTAAAGCAGATATTTTTGTGACCTTTGAACGTATTTAACCACTTTTTGGAAACACAAGAACACAAGTCCTTAAGGATAATTTAATAAAGTAGTACCCATACAGTTCTTAACTTTAAGACAATTTAAACATGTATTTTTAGAACCTGTATATATACGGACATTTTATAGTTTACGCCATTTTCTTCACAATTTTTATTTGTCAGTTACCATTTAAGAAAGTTTTAGACAGTTTTATAAAAGTTTTTGACACTTAATAATTTTAAACAATTTTTTGCTACTAGTGTTTATTTTTTCGTTGCGAATGCGATTTTTATATTGCGCATGCATTTTTCAATTTTTCATGCAGTTTCACAATTGTTTGGTAAAGAAACATCTTATAAAAGACATAATAATTTAACCATTTTTTGAAAAAATTGAACTTGCTAGGATACTTTAACAAAATTTAAAAATAAATAATTCAGGATTGTTTTTTTAATTGACCTTTTTTATGGCGCATACAATTTTTGAACAAATTGAGACATTTTAAAACAGTTTTACATGTGTTTTTAGAACCTTAAACTGTACATTTTATATTGCGCATTTAATTTAACCATTTTAATTAAACTGGTCCAAAAAAACTTTTCCAAGGAATAAGTAATTCAGGACAATTTTTTGCAATTTTAGTTTATTTTAAAAAAGTGTTTATCCATTTTTTTGGAGTTTGTTGGGCATTATTTAAGAAAGTTTTAGAGTTAATTTAAAACAATTTTTATAACTTTTGTTTACTTTTTTAAATTAACATTTTTTTAATGCACATGCGATTTTGATATTGCGCATGCGATTTTGATATTGCGCATGCAATTTTAATATTGCGCATGCAATTTTTATATTGCGCCTGCATTTTTTTAATTTTTAATAGTTTTACAGTTGTCTGGTAAAAAACAGTTAAATATTAGTTTTTGGGCAATATAAGGCGTTTTAAAACAGTTTTTCATGTGTTTTTGGAACCTTAGACAATATAGAGACATTTTAAAGTTTTAGCCATTTTTAACAATTTGAATTTGTTGTTGATTTGTTTTTTTTTAAATTATCAAAGAGTTTTTTATTTTTATATTTTTGTTTTTTACTTCTTTTTACAATTATTTTAAAAGCTTCAATTTAAACAACAATTAATATAAATTCTTGTGCAGTGAAATAAAACTCGATAAATGTATAATTCAACGAATCGTATAAAGCATTAATCCAATAACAAACTCAATTTAATCAAAATAGATATTGAAATCCATCCAAAATTAATTAAATTCCATTTATGCAGTCACAAAATCCAACACTTTATAACTACATTACAGAGGAAGTGTTCAGTTCAAACACAGCCCTCTGGTTCTCGCCCGATGGTAAAAAACTCGCCTATGGGCGGTTTAACGATACCAAGACGCCTCTGATGGTTTTGCCCATATATGGAGACCCCGGTAACCCTATTTTCCAATACCCTAGGGCCAACGTCATCAGATACCCAAAAGTAAAGATTTTGAGATTATTTTTTCACATTTTTTATATGTATCTTTGTATACCTAGGCTGGAACACCAAATCCAGATGTTAGTTTGCACCTAGTTGAGCTGGAAAATCCCAGTGAAGGGAAGGTTCTTTCGCCTCCAGATGATTTAGTATCAAGGTAACAGGTTCAGGTTGAAAAAATGGTTTTTACGTCAACAATTTTAGGGAGCCAATTCTGTCCACCGTAGTTTGGAACAACAAAGAAACTGTAAGTGCAATTTGGATGAATAGGGTTCAAAATCAAGCCTCCATAATGTCTTACAGTGCTAAGGAACCATTTACACCCTCTGTGGTAAGCTAAAGTTCAAAACGCAATATATTTTTTACTTATGTAAGTATTTTCTAGACCAAAAAGCTTAAACAGAATGGAGGATGGTTGGAGCTTTTTACAGCCCCTGTATTTTCTGAAGATGGCTCTAAACTGGCCATTATACTTTCACAGGATCAAGGGAGAAAATTGGGGTCTTACAGACATTTAACATTAATTGCTACAGATGAATCTCAAGATGAACCCCTTACTAAAGGAGCATATGTTGTTACAGAATTGTTAGGATGGGACCACAAGAATGACCTAATGTAAGAAAAAATTATCCTCCCAATAAAATATTCTACTAATATTTTCAGTTATTACTTGGCCAACACAGCTGAGGATTCTTCAGTGCAACATTTATACTCTATATCGCCAAAAACAAGAACGCCAAAATGCTTATCATGCGATACCAAGGCCAACTCGAACAAAACTTGTACTTACAATACGGCCGAGTTCAGTCCTGATTTCACCAATTACGCGCTGACTTGCGCAGGGCCGGACGTCCCGGAAATTAACATTTATTCCAGCAAAAACGTGAAACTGCTGGCTTGGGAGCAAAACAAAAACTTGCTGAATATAGTGCGGCAAAAAAGAATTCCTGTCACCAAGAAAATGGAGTTCAATATTTCAGACGGGTTTACCGCGAGGGTTAGTTTAAAGTTGCCCCCCAATATGGATATGAGCGGAAACACCAAGTACCCCATGTTGGTAAATGTGTAAGAATTATATAAAAAAAAAATTTCACAAAGTTTTAATTTTTTTAATCTTTTACCAGTTATGGAGGGCCCGATTCCTTCCAGGTTATAGATAGGTTTGGTTTGGATTGGGGTAGTTATTTGGTCACAAATAAGGGCATTATTTATGCTCTTATTGACGGAAGGGGGTCAGGATTAAGGGGGGACAACTTGTTATTTGCTGGTTATCGACATCTCGGAACTGTGGAGATTGCTGACCAAATAAACGTCACAAGGTTTGTATACTTATACATATATATACTTATTTTAGTCCCTTTTTTTGATTATTTTTAAACATGATAGCACTTTTTTGATGTTTTTTATTTACACATTTTATTTACATATCTATTTTATTTTGATTTTTTATAATTTCCGGGGGTAAATTAAGCGTCACGCGCAAGATGAATCGCATTAGCAGTGTGGCGTTTTTACGAATAAATCCGTAAATTAACAGATTTCAGGTGCGATCTAAGGACATCTAGATTTTTTTTCGGTATATACAGATTTGAGCAAACTGCCCAAATTCGAACAAAATTGGGTAATTGAAAACTGCCCTCACATTAATTTTATTTAAAACCGGGTAATTGAAAACTGCCTAAACAAGAAAAATTTGGGTAATTGAAAACTGCCCTTAATTAAATTTGTTTAAATTCGGGTAATTGAAAACTGCACATTAAAATTAATGTTTTTTGTAATTAAAAACGGCCCAAATTTAAAAAAATTGTGTTATAAATTTGCATAGAGGCATCAATTTCAAAAAATAAAATTGAGTACAATTTCATTTTGTTAAATACTTTCCAACAGTTTTTTCTTCTATATAATTTTTTGTTGTATTTTTTTTTAATATTTTTAATTCTGTACTTACTCCTACTTTTTCTCATATGCTTTAGTGTTTTTTTTTAGTTTTTTTACAATTTTTTTAGATTATGTTTGTGTGAAATATTAAATATGATTTTTAATTCATTTTTCCGTTTATACATTTCTTATATAATTTATATTTTTTGTAGCGATTAAAAAAATGTTTTTTTAATGTAGGTGTGGTAAATTAGTACATTTTTTAAAAAATTTCTCGATATTTTTATTATTTAATTATTTTTATTAATTTGACATTTTTAAGGCTTTTTATTTTAATTTAGGATATTGAAATTTATGATTTTTTTATTCATTTTCATATACATAATATGTATATTATAAACCCTACAATAGGGTTACCTGAAAAGTAGTGACTAGCAATTTTGGGCGTTATTTTAATTAAAATTTTTTTTAAGTTTATTAAACTTGACAACGCTTTGTTTCTGACTGAGTTTATACAGATAGGAAATCTTTTTATTTTTGTTTTTTCGAAGAAAAGTCATTCCTGATAAAAATAAAAATATTTTTAACAATAATAATTAATTTATGCCTACATTTTCTGATACCTATTTATTTTTATTAATTATTTGTAACGATATATTAATTTTAAAAGATTTTTTGAATTTAGTACTTATTCCTATTTTTTTCATATCCTTTTGTGTTTATCTTTAATTTTTTAACAATTTTTTAAGTCTATGTTTTTGAGTGGTTGTGGGAAATATTAAATATGATATTTTAATTAATTTTTTAGTTCGTTCAATTTTTATATAATTTATAATTTTTGATTAAAAAAATGTTTTTTAGTGTAATAAATTAGGGCATTAATGCAATAATAATTATACAATATTTTTAAGATTGTTTATTAGTTTAAGATTTTTCCATGATATTTTTATATTTTTTTATTAATTATTTTTAATAATTTGACATTTTTTAAGGCTTTTTTTATTTTAGTTTACGATATTTAAATTTATGATTTTTTTATTCCTTTTTATATATAAACCCTACAATGGAGCGACCTTAAAAGTAGCTAGCGATTGGGGAAGTTATTTTAATTATAAAATATTTTCATGTTGTAGTATTGTATTTATTTATTTGTATATTTTTGATTTAATTTATAAAGAACTACCTAATTCTTGATAAAATATTTAATAATAAAAGACTTACTGTCCGTTCAGGCTAAGTTGAGCGGTCTAAGGAATGTCACCCAGTTCATCATCTCTATGTTCAGGCAAAATTAAATACATGTATTTCGGTAGCCGCTCTGTACGAACAAACGACAAGCCGCGGCACTGATAAATCATCTTCTTATTACCAAAATCTCGCGACGATTCGATATTTAATTTAATCAACGGCCACATGATCCCCACCAAAGCGCTCAACTTAGCCTGAACGGACTGTACATTCACGTAGTAAAATTCGGGATTTTAAGTGCAGGGTGTTTATAATTTTATTCGTAATTTGTATTTAGACTAGTAGTACAAACTTTTTATTTAAAAAAAAATTAAAAAATAAAAACACTACTTCTCTCCTGAATTGATTTAATGTTTTCGTAATTTTTAAAAACTAGAAAAAATCCTATTTTTTGTCATTGTTTTTTTGTCACTTTTTTCGACGTTAAAACTTTTTTATATTAATAAATAGCCCAACAAATATTAAATACAAAAATTCAATTTTTAGAGCATTTTTTAACATTTTTTAAGGTCTATCCAAGACACCCTTCCATATGTGGACGCGTCACGTACCGCCATTTGGGGCTGGAGTTACGGAGGATACGCCTCTGGAATGGCCCTTGCCGAAGACAAAAACAATGTCTTCAAATGCGGGATATCAGTGGCACCTGTGACCGATTGGGCGCTATACGGTACTGATATTTCCAACTTTTAGCCTAATTTATAGATTGCCTTCCTTCCTTCCTTCCTTCCGTAGAAGATAAACAATAAAAAAGATTACCGTACGGAAATCTATAAATGACACTACGGTTTTCGTATTTTTCATCTTTTACGGGAGGAAGAGTAGAGCTCTATCTCTTTTCTCGTTGGTCTAAGTTTTGTTACTGTTTTTTTTTAGATTCTATATACACTGAAAGATTCATGGGTCTACCAAAAGAATCGGATAACGCCAGAGGCTATATAGAGAGTCAGTTATTATTGAAATACGAGGGGTTAAGGAACAAACAATATTTCTTAATACACGGAACGTATGACGATAATGTTCACTACCAACAGTCAATGTTGTGGGCCAAAGTTTTAGAACAAAAAGACATTTTATTTAGGCAGTTGAGTTACCCGGATGAGGACCATGGTTTGGCTTCAGTTCGCCCCCATTTGTACCATTCTTTGGAACATTTTCTCGACGAATGTTTTTTGGAAAAGGAGGAGGAATAATAGATAGATAGATAAAATTGATGTTTTAAAACTTACGACTGTCAAAAAAAACTATTAAACAACTAGTCAATTTGGTTGCGGTTGATTGCGGATCAAAATCAAGTGATTTTTTTTTACGTACCTATTTGATTTTTCGTTTTTTTTTAAATGGCGACAGGGTTTCTATTGCGATATAGATCTCAGAAAATTATTATAAATGTTCTATTTTTATTAAGTGTTTGTATAAATGTATATACGAGAATATGTTATAATAATGTTGGTTTATTGTCTATTAAAGAAATAAATATCTGAATTTTGTGTTACACATGTTTTTTATTTTTATACCTTTCTTAATACCTAAACGGATTTTTCGTTTTTTAGACTTAAAAGTTTTTTAAAATAAAGAACGTTTTTTATGATTTTTTATGTTAACTTGATAAAATCATTTTTTTGACCCAACAAATCTTGACTTTGCATTGTGCATGCAACTAAGAAAAATTGCCCAACTTTTTAATAAATCTTGGAATATTTATATCCAGAATTGCAAATAATGCAATATTTTTTTATTGCATTTATGTAGGTTTCAATTAATCATTATTAAAATAATGAGTAACGTATTTAATTTTCATTATGCATTACTTCTTTTTTAATGAAAATGAAGTTAATTACTCATTAAATTTTTTCCAATGGGTAATGTATTATTTTTTGCATTCAATTGCATTCAATTGCAATTTTTTATGTTAATGAGTACTTTACATTAGGTACATTAAAATATTTTTATTGCATGACACATTTTTCAATTTTTGTTTTGAATTGGTTTTTTACCATTAACAGACGTTAAAAATTAATTATTGTATTATACCATTGCGGATTCAGAACTTTTTTGAGTTTAGGTCGCCTTCTTACCTAATTATCATAATCCCACTATCAACCCCGGCTTAAAACTTCTTGAGTGGGTAGAAGTTTAACGTAAAAAATTTGCAAGGAAATAGAAGAATACAAACAGTTTGAAAATTAAAATTTTAAAACTCAAAATAAGCATTAAAATGGGTGAATATCACGAAATGTCCCCCGATGGTATTACTAAAAATATCAGTTTACTAAGTAAATTAAACACATCCAAAGCAATCGAATCAAATATAAAATATTTTTAAAAATTAAAAGTAATAATTTTATAACCATTTATGTAGGTGTTACAAAAATTGATTCTATCCTCCGTGAATCTGTTTTTGTTTTAAATTTTATGGAACGGCTGGCGCTTTAATCATTTTAAATAAGCAAAAACCTCTGTTTACGACATTATAGATGCATGTGATTCCTGAAGGTCAGTTAAAATTTATATGCAGATGAGAGTGTTGCTGTTTTATAATTCAAAAGTTTAAGTTCATTAATTTGCTATTTAAAAACCTATCCACCGTGAAGTGTAATATCTCAGTAAGTAGATTTTTTTTATAAATATTTTATGTATGTACAATTGTATTTTTAAAAATTATTAAGGTGTCAAAAGATACAATAACTTATTTCAAATATACAAAGGGATGTTTTAAAAAAAATCCTAACCTCCGTGAAGCTATATTATTCAAAATGTATGATTTCTTAAAATTCTTGCATTAGTGTACAACCACTTATGTTATGTTATTACTAGACCTGGTGGCTTCCCAAAAACCCCATTCTAGACTAACAGTGAACGAACCAAAAATAAAAAATAATCATTTTCACTTGGGGGACACCTCAATATATTCACCCTTATAATTTTATATATTATATATAATTTTATGTATGTATACATTGTATAAATACATAGATATAATTTTAGATTTATTTTTTTATTAAACTAAGAAAGGCTACTTAAGATTTGGGGGCCACTCTGGTCCAAAATGGTACCAAAGTGCCACTTCTACCAACACTGTATTTTGTAGTAAATGGGTCGGGCAATCTAAATTCTTCTTGGGTAAACCCAAGAAGACTAAACAAAGGAGTAACTCTCGAACACAAAGCAAAATAGTTAAGTACTCCTCCTGTATTTAGTTTTCTTTGGTAACAATTTTATAGGTGCATATAAAAAACTTTTGAACGTGACTTTCTAAATTAAAACGCGCTGTGAATACATACTTAAAACACTTTAATCTCTTATTGCATTTTTATTGTTCCCTGTAATTATTAAAATTAGCATAGCTATTTAAATATTAATTGTTCTTAACTGCCAATCAGTACTAACTCCAACAAAACCAAAACTAATATGGCGAAATGACGTACGTGCCTAGGTACATAATTATATACTGCATACTTACCACATTGACGTAAATAATAACAAATAAAGCAGTGTAATCTTAAATATATTATTATTTGAATAGGTTACTGACATTCAATTTTAATAGCATTTTAATCATCGCGAGAAATATTAAATTTGTTGCTTATATCTAAGAAATACTGATCCAGTTTATTTCCATGGCTGCCACACCACTCTGTTGCATATGTTTCGGCAATCTTACACCCCCATAAGTCAATAAAGACAACTGGCTTACATTCGCCTTATCCAGGGCTGTGTAGTTTGTCAAAATTTGACCCTCAAAATGTGGTTTGAACTCGTCTATTGCGAAATTTACTGTCTCAAAGTCTTCAGGACCCTAAAATTGTTAATTATTATCATTTATGCTTTCTTATAAGGGTGATTCTACAAAAGTTGGACAACTTGATGTCATCATTCAATAGAGTAGGTGTTTTAATATTTTTTGTAAATATTTTAGTATATTACAAAAGATCCAGGTTTTTTTTTAACTTGTCTACCCAATTTTAATGTATTTTTTCAAAAACACGTTTGTAGAAAAACATAATAAATATTCAAAACATCAGTACCTTGGTGTGTCACAACTCCTAAATCAAATATTTGAGAGATTTTATTTTAAAATATATTCAATTTATCTTAAATTTTTCAATTTCACTACAAACTATAAAACATGTATTTTTCATATTTTATCATAGATTCGAATAATAGCAATTTTTAAAAAAATTGATAATCTTTGTAGGTACCTACTCACTTTTACCCGTCAGTTCTGTGTCCAATGTTAAAATTCAAAATTCCTGCGAAATATTGAAGTTTAAACTAACTTTATAAAACTTTATTAAATTACCTACAGAGCCTGCCCTTTGCACGACAGTCATCTTGAAAACAATGCAAGCGGCGAAGTTGTGGTGAATGCACGTATAGTTCCAGTCAAAATTTCAGTACTGTGGTGAGTAGTTATTTTTGTATATATATTTCATTGTAATTTATATAAGGCTATACACTGTTCAAAATCAAGCCTTTTGAAATACCTAATCAGAATTAGTTAAGGAAAAATAAGGTAATATGCTTAAACGAGTAAAGCAATTTACCTTCTCGTTTATTAGGCAGAAACGAATGCCTTAGTTCTATGGTGTATTCACTAACTTCTAGATAAATATTCATACTTTACTTAATAAACTTGTCAAATTTAAAAAGATAGGCAGATTACCTAAATATTTAGTCAATATCTCAATTACTTTTAGGTACGACAATTTTGCTTTTAATTTAGGTAATTCTTCTAAATTATTATGGCAAATTATTGAACTAATTTAGGTAAATTCCTTTAAATATTAGTGACTTACTTGCAATCGGCTACGATCGCTAATACCGACGTTTTAAGATAAATATTCGCGCCTATATTGTCCTCCATAATGCCAAAATCAACGAAAGCTTAAAGACCGCATTGTGTGCTATTGATATAACAACATAGTTAACAATTTTTGTGATATAAGTGAACATTTTGTAGTGCTATAGTTAAGTAATCCAAACTAAATGGAATTTCCCATTGACCCCAATTTATTTTTAACCCTGCAGGGTTGGGATTATTTAAAGGGTTCCTGTACTACATGTAGTACCGGAACCGCAGTTTTTAATCAGCCTAGGACGCAAAGATAAAGGAGTCCTAACTTGGAAGAAAATTCCTCTGCTAGGATTTTCACTAAAAATATTTATAATTTGCCTAAAAACTTAGCTAAAATCTACTTAAAAATTTAAGCAAATTGCCTTAGAAACAGGATATTTCTTCTTTTATTCTCAGGCAATATCCCTTACGATCTAAGGTGTATTATCTTTGAAACCTAAGTAATTTTGCTTAATTAATTGTATCATTTTCTTTAAAAATATCAGTTAAAGAATTCACTAATTTAAAAGGGGAATATTCCTCTAAATTCATTTTAAGCAATTTGCCTTAAAAAATCAATGGTCCTATATAGTCTAAAATTTTAGGTAAAAATTAGCTAAAATTTTGAACAGTGTATGTGATTTGTTGATAAGTAGCATCCACTAATAAAAAATATCAGTAAAATACTTAATTCCGAATTATAATCTCAAATTTGTATCCCATTCATCAGTACCGTGTCGTCAGTTCCATGTTCGATGTTTCGGTTATCTTTTTTTCGCAAACTTCAATTTCAATTCTGCTTGCGCAGAACTTGTTTATTTAATGTCATTATAAACTCATATAAATTTGGTGTGGGTCCCATATCTAATAATTGAGATATCGGTATACCCAAAATCCACCAGCCGCCACTGATGTGTGGTATTATTTGATTTTAAGATATTTAATGAATAATATGCTTAAAGTTGCAATAAATTATGTATTTAATTAGTACCCTGGTATACTCGTCACTTCCCTTGCATTCAAATTTAGAAAACACAGATATTTCAGAAACTGTTTGAAAAAGTGACTGGCCCGGTCTGGAACAGTATATTTATTATATTATCTATGTTCTCTTAACAAAATACTGTTTAATTTTCTCCGAAAACTATATAAACAAAATGAGGTCAAAAGTTGCCCAACTTTTGTAGAATCACCCATAAGAAGAAGATTTTATTATTTCTTTGCAATTACCTTAAAATATTGACAGTAAGCAGGGGCCCTGACTCCGCTCAACCCCCTGTCCCTCAAGCAAAACTCATAGCCCCTATATTCGCCCCTAGACTTGATGTTCATGGATATTTTGTTGACATTTGTCAAGTCCAATTTCACGTTTTTTCTTATCCCAGCAAACGCTGCTCCATCGGGTTGAGGGTCCAATAAGGTGAACAGAACTGCCCTTTGTAGGGGGCCGTTTTGTAGCAGGGTTAAGGTGGCTTTGGATTTTCCTTCCCCCATGAGAGTGTCTGATTGTTCTTTCCATAGGATTTCTGTTTGTTTTTCGAAATTGTCGATGTAATCGCTATAAAGTTTTAAAATATATTTTCAAGAAAAAAAATTCATCCCTGGCAAAATTACGTATAATACGCTAAAGAAGTATCGGCCCGATACTATCGGGTTGTCAACAATACATTTAAATCATACGAACTGTACATCATTTTTAAATAAATAGGTGGTTTTTTCACAAAAGAGATTTTGTTCAATTGCACAGCTAAATCGCGCACGTTATTTGTGTTTTACGTTGCAAGGAAAAAACTAAAAAAACTGGTTTAGTAGGTACTCGATTTCGATTGATTATTTTTTATATCATTGATTAAGAAACTCAACGCTTAAATGCTTATATAGTTACGTTAGTGTGTGTATTTTATCTAAGGGATCATGGTGAATTATTGTGTTTTTAATTGTAAATAAAATTCAAGAACTAAATCGTTGTATTTTCATGTTTATAATCCTTTGGCTATAGCCAAAGGATTCAGTAGTACTTTACCTAATATAATTTATATTTAAGTTAACCAAATTTGGACATTTTTAAGAAATTAGTAAAAATAATTTTTGCACAAACATAACCTTAAAATCAACCATTTTTATATTTGAGTTCTCTAAAAAACGCCGACAACTGCATTTTAAACAACAAAATATACCTACGAATTCATGACAACATGGTAATATAATGGTATTTTACCGATGAATGGAGACTTTAAAGAAGTCTTAATCAACGCTTTAAATAATTTTAAATGCTGTTTAAATTTATTTGTTTGACGATTTTTACTGAATTGAAATGTTTACACTTTTCACGTTAATCATTACTAAAATGTGTATTTATTGTATCTAATAGATACAATTTATATTTACAGGGACTGTATGAAATTTATTTCTTCATTCGGATTAACATTGTTTATTGAAAAACCGATAAAAACTCAAATCAGGATTTCCTCTCGAAATACACCCAAAAACACAACAAATCGTGCCACGGTTTTTTTCGATATTTTTAACATTTTCCGGCTTTATTCTCAAAAACACTCGTTTGTAACACATGCGTTTGACAGCTGATTATCAAAAGTTGTACTTTTGTTACGATGATAACAGCCGAGTGGTGGCGCCACTATAGTGATACTTAAAGCCATATAATTGTACCTATAACTTTATAGGTATATGCTTAAAGCCATTTTTTTTAAATCAAGGAAGATAGACTAAACATTTAGAAACAACAAAAAAGATTAATTTTAAATTATTTAATCTCTAAATTAGTTATATAAAAAAAAAGTTATTTAACAACTACCTATAATATGTTATTAATTGTTGTGTAAAAGAAGTGTAAAAATTGAAAATTATAATAAAAATAATAAATTATTATCTACAAATATAAATAAATAACATTGATCTTTTGAACTTTTTTGCAGAAAAGATAAAATATACATAATATGTCTCCTAATAGAAGTTTACCAAATAAATTCACACTAAGTGCTCAATCATTAACAAAAAATACTTACCAACATCCTAAACCACTAAAAACACCAATAAGAAAAAATAAAGCAAAAAAATTAAACATTTCTATAGAATTTTTAAAACGTACGTAGTTTTATTAGATTAAAACCAGTCTCTTTCAATAAACATTAGTTGCAAATGAATAACGCAGCACAACAAATCATGTCCCCTCTTTAATCACACAAGATTGAAGATAATAAAATACTTTGTTGGTATTTATGTTATGTAAATTAAGTAACCGAACAGGTACCCAATTTGTAAAGTAAATATTTAATTTTTAGTAGGTATACAACTGATAACTGATGAGGAAATGCACTTTAATAGTTAAAAAAACATAAATGATGTATTTCCATAATCATAATAATCATTTACTATTATTTAAAATTCTTAAAAATTATTTCTTTTTTAAAATCAACCTTTAGATATGCAACCCAAAATGCAATAAATAGTACGTTTGTTGCCTGAAAATCAGGCGTGTTGTTCGACCTTGAGAACGGGTTCTTAAATTAAAATTGCCTAGACAAAACTTGTCTAGGGTAAATTGGGTAATTTAAAAATGCAGATACATCACTAGAAAGTTAATTAAAGTACTTTTATAATCCTAATTTCGTTCATTTTTGTTAAATTATTTGATTGTGTTGTGTTTGTAGGTTGGCGGCAGTGATCAAAACACAAAATATGGCAGATACGTCAAAAGCTCAAAAATTGGCATCTGCTAAAAAAAGGGTAAACAAAATTTGCATTATCCTAGCGTAATTTACAAGTGCTTGCCATATTTTAGTTGATTAAAAGTTTTGAGTGTTGAATTTTCGATTATTAGTGACCTTAATAGCGATTTTTATTACCGGCCACATCATCAATAAACTGTCACTAAATTACTTTCACTCTTTTTCAGTTTAAAGAGCTCAAGGACCAGAAGAAAAATGCCAGCACCGTTAAAAACGCCGAAAACCCCGAAACTAATACGAGGACTACCCCCGTAGACAGCATGACAAGTTCTACTCATAGTTCAATAACAACAGAGCATGTAGCACAAGAAAATCCTCCAAGCAACGCACAAATAGTGAATTATTTCAGTGCTTCTCCAGTGCAGAACGTCTACGAACAACCTGCCGCCTTTTTTGATAATTTTAGTCAACCAAGTGCTGAGAGTAATAATTATTTTAATGTTCCTAGTTATGCAAGCGAGAATTTTTTTGACCAAATTCCACAGAATAACATTAACACTGAGTATGTAGCAGATAATTTTACTGTGGAACAACCAGAAATAATCCAAAACGATTTATATCAATCACATGAAAATGAAGGTCACCAAAACTTAATTTCCAACCAAGATAGCCAGAATTTGATGAGTTATTTACAGGCTGGCACTACTGTGGACGAAAATAAACAAGAAGTAACATTACATTCCAATGTAGAAAGTTTAAAACAACTCTCAGATCAAATGGCAGAATTAGTTGATACGAACTGTGAATATGCAGTGAACACTTCAATAACAGACTTGGAAAAGAGGAATTTGGAGTTGGCAGCACTGTATGAGCAAGAAAAAATCAGGGGTAATCAGTTAAATACCGCGTTAATAGATTCGGAAAATAGAAATAGGGATTTGGAGGTTAGGTTACAGCAAAAGGATTTAAGTATGGATTTGCAGATAAGTCAGGAATTGGGACGGTTAAAAGAGGAGTTACAATCAAGAATACAAACCATGGGGATGTTGGTCGCTGAAAATACAGAATTATCAGCGAATTTAAGCCAGTTTGAGATAACTACAAAACAGAAGACCATAGAATGTGAAGAATTACAAGCTAGACTTAAGACTTCTAGATCTCTAGTGGCTGATTTAGAACGCGAAATCAACAATTTGAAGCTGGAAAAGTCGAAAAACGATAACATGGGTAAAGAACATGTCAACACTTTTGAAAAACTCAACTTGGAGCTTAGGAATGCTAAAGAAGTGAATGAAGAAATGCATCAAGATTTATTAGAGGCAAAGGAAAAGCTTAAACACGCAACAGAGGAAAATATAACCCTCCAACAGCAATTCCAAGATGTCAGCAGCAAATTGCACATGGCCAATATAAAAATACAGCAGCTGACAACAGGGGAATCACACCAAGTCGACGGTCAGGTTGAGCAACTTACCAGCGCTAAATTCGCTTTGGAAAAAGAGGTTGCCAACTTAAATCAAACGCTGAAGACTTTGACGAAAGAGAGGGACGAATCCAGTCAGCAGTATCAGCAGTATGCTGAACAGTTGAATGGGCAGTTGTACAACTTATCTACTAGGATAGAACAGTTGCAGCAGGACAATGAAAATTTGGTGTTGCAGGAGCAAAACAGGATTAAGCACATAGGCGATCTGGAGCGACAATTGCAAAACCTACAGAACGACCACGTGAACTTCGCAACGCCGAAATCAAGCAATGATGCCAACTTTAAGAACGAATACGAAACAACAAAAGAACTCCTAGTCCAAACGCAAATAGACAAAACCAACTTGGAGGAGAACGTCACCAAAGTCACCAACGAAAACGAAATGCTACTGCGAGAATTGAACGCCAAAAACGAATCGTTGTCTCAGCTGGAAAGCATGGTGGAACAATTGAGGGGAAACCAACCGGACAGTGTAAAACTATTGGCAACAATGGAAAGCGACAAGGTTGCCGCTGCAAGAGCGGTCGCGCAGAATAAGGAGCTGAAATCGCAGATGGACGGGATGAACGAAGTTTTCGTGAAATTGGTGAGTGAAGAGCGGATAGATAGAGTACGGCGTGCTCTATCTTTTCTCTCTTTGGTCTATGGTTCTTTATTGTAGTTTACAGAGTATTTTCTTTGATTTCAAGAATTTTTGTTGATTTAATAATTGGGTGAATATTTTGAGATGTCACCCAAGTGAAAATGATTATTTTTTATTTTTGGTTGTTTCACTTTTAGTCTAGAATGGGGTTTTGGGAAGCCACCAGGTCTAGTAATAACATAACATAAGTGGTTCTGCACTAATGCAAGAATTTTAAGAAATCATACATTTTGAATATTAGAGCTTCACGGAGGTTAGGATTTCGTATGTTTTTTAAAACATCCCTTTGTATATTTGAAATAAGTTATTGTATCTTTTGACACCTTAATATTAAAAAAAAATACAATTGTACATACATAAAATATTTATAAAAAAATCTACTTACTGAGGTATTACACTTCACGGTTGATAGGTTTGATAGCAAATTAATGAACTTAAACTTTTGAATTATAAAACAGCAACACTCTCATCTGCATATAAATTCTAACTGACCTTCAGAAATCACATGCATCTATAATGTAAATAAACAGAGGTTTTTGCTTATTTAAAATAATTAAAGCGCCATCCGTTGCATAAAATTTAAAGCAAAAACAGATTCACGGAGGATAGATCAATTTTTGTAACACCTACATAAATGGTTATAAAAATTATTTGTTTTAATTTTTAATAATATTTTATATTTGATTCGATTGCTTTTGATGTGTTTAATTTACTTGGTAAACTGATATTTTTAGTATGCTTTTACTACCTCAGATATTTGAAAACATATAGGTTAACCTAGAAAGAGTAACAGTCACGGAGGATAGGTTTTAAACTTTTAAAACATTGTAAAAAATATAATTACTTAATTGCGGTTAAAAATCTGCAACCTGAGCTGTAATATCTACTTACTTAATTATGAAAGATCAAAACACAATAAAAGTGTAGGTCAAACTCATTTAGTTTTATTAAATATCACGGTAACACCATCGGGGGACATTTCGTGAGATTCACCCAAGTATATACATGATTTTATTTTTCTTTATATTTTTTTAGTTTTTAAATTTTTACTATTTTGGTTATGTTAGTTTTTATTTTTTTTTTAAATTTTGTTTCGAATTTTAGTTTTTTTGTATTAATTTTTAGTATTAATTTGTTTAAAAATTTATGAAAAACTTTATGGGTGCACCAAGTATCCTTCTATGTATGGGAATATTTTTTAAATTACAAAAAGTTGCGTAATCACAAGTCTATTAAAATGGCTTTAAAAATTGGAAGAAAATCGTTGGTTCTCAAATAATTTAAAAAAATAGAAAAACCGGTCAAAAACAAAAATAGTTCCTGGGAATTTTGCAGGGCCGCCGAGGGGCAAAAGGGCACATTTCCCCAGACCCTGGATTTAAAAAAAAAATCAAAAATTGAAAACAATGAATAGTTACTTTTTTCAATAAAACATTAGTTTAAAATATTTCTATAAAAGCCAAAATAATTTGATATATGTGAGTTCAAAATAAAAAATTTCCTCCAAAAGGAAAAATAATTAAGTGAAATTTTAAAGTGCGATTTTTGTATGCCTTTTATTGTTTTTCAAGCATGCACTTATGGCGGCCATTTTAAAAACATAGTATTGAAGAAATTGGATGAAAATGTTTACATTTAAAACTTACTTTGTTTCAAAATTCCCAGTAATAACAGAGTTATAACGATCGTTGCATTTAAAAGGTTTTTAGTTTTTTTTTTCAAATATTTTGAGAACCGCTGGCTTTTGTTTCAATTTATAAATTTTATGTTAATAGACTTGTAATTACGCAACTTTTCTCTAATTTAACCGACATTGTAGCTCTTCAAATAAAAAAATTCCCATAGTATAATACACAAAGAAGAAAAATGTAGGAAAATTTAAAAAGATGTTTTATTTATTTTTTAGAACGATGACAAGGTGGAACTGACGGAAAAACTCACCGTCGAGCAAAAAAGCAACAAAGAACTGTTCGACAAGCTCCAAAAGACCGAAATAACCCTGCAAACTCTGGCCGACGCCATAGAAATTAAAGACAGAGAACTCTGCAAGCTAAGAGACAGCTCAACCAACCTGAACAAACAAGTTCTGCAGCAGGAACAACTCACCGACCGATTGAGGCACTACGAGGCGCATGATCACAGCGCGCACGCGCTGCAAAGCGAGTTGCAGGAGGCCAGGAACACGATCACTAGATTGACGAACGAGTTAAACCAAGGCAAGCAAGGCACACTACAAGAAAACGGTGACACCATGGAATCTCTAAGAACTCGGTTAAGACAGTTGGAGGTGAAAAATAAAGAGTTAGAATGTGGCAACACTGATTCGATAAATAACAATGACGAGTTGGATAAGGAGGTGGCAATGAAATATTTGCAGGATAAGTTTACAAGAACCATGCAGGATATAGCGGAGTTGCAGGATGAAAAACAAAGGTTGGAACATTTGGTGGATCAGCTTCAAACGGAAACTGAAACAATTGGTGAGTATGTGGCTCTGTACCAACACCAAAGAATGGTTTTGAAGCAACGGGCTTTGGAAAAAGACCAGCAATTAAAACAGCTGGCCAGTGATAGAGAGCAGATGAAAGAAAAACTGCACAAGCTAAATTCTCTAATACATAAAGTGGTTAACAATGATGTGGCAGTTACAACCAGTGGTGATTATGTAATAGAGCAAAAACAAGAGGAAATATCTGAAGGAAAAAGCCAGGAAACAGCCAAAGAAATTATTAATCTGCTATCTGAAATCGAGACCAGCAATTTGGTCCAACCAAATAGTGAAGAGTTTCATCATTGTCCATGGTGTCAAGGGAACTTAATTACAGTTTAATTAATGAAAAATATCTTTAAAAAAACCCAAAGATCTAAATTTAATTTTGGGACTTTAGAAACTGTTTTCAACTCATTGTGACTTATGTGATTGTTAAAGGAAATGTAAATATTGCTTATTAAATAAATTTGTATATTAATAAAACTTTTTATTCATAACTTCATTAACAATAAATGCATGATATAGAAATATAATTCTGTATAAAAATACGTATTTACATTACAACACTATAATCACCAAAAAATGGTGAATTATTGAACTAAAAAAATTACGTGTATATAAAAAATTACACACGACCAAAATCTTCAATTAAAACTTTCCCATAGTGGTCAACTATGTAATCATGGTAGTACATCATTATGGCTAGAGGTTGGCCTATTATTAAGGACGCCCATACAACAATATTACCACAACGGGGCCCATATTTTTTTTCTATGCTTCTAGAAATTGAGGACAATGGAATTTGACCCATCATACCCATAAACGCCCATATCTTGTATGTTTTTAGGGGCACACTCACCTAAGGCACAAATATTAATCCTGATAACAAAATAACACAAAAACGCAAATAATATATTTTTAGAATTAAAAACTGCCCTTACATTTAATTTATTTAAAACGCAAATAATTAAAAACTGCATATTAATATTATTGCTTTGGGTGATTAAAAACTGCACAGATTTAAAAAAATGGATAATTGAAAACTGACCTTATCTTAATAAATTTAAAAATGGTATAAAAGATATCCGCACAGTAGCACAAATTTAAAAAAATTGGTTCAAATTTGCAAAAAATTTTGAATTTCTAAAGCCTGGTTCATATAGATGCGACATGCGAATTTGCGAAATGCGAAAATGTTTTCATTGGTTCATTTGATTTGGCGGGAAAAGTATTTCGACGTTTCGACAGATTCTGCGAATTCGCAAGATTTAAAATCTGGGGGGCGGGAATCTTGAGATTGATCCAATATTTTGCGAAAATCGCACGAATTTGGCGTGATGCGCATGCGCATTAATGCAGATGCTTATTATACGTATTTGTTATATGAGTCGTATAGATTCAAAACCCGCCAAATCCATTTATTGAAAGTAAAGGACAGTAGATATGTTTGCAATACATATTAATTATGTTGTTATGGAAACATGTCTTCTGTCCTTTACTTTCAATAAATGGATTTGGCGGGTTTTGAATCTATACGACTCATATGTACCCGCGCCATTTTTGTTTATGTTCTGCGTTTATTTCATTTGTATTGCATAGTTGTTGAGTTTTATTTGAAATGTTTCTTGCTAAAGTTGTTTTTTGTTCTTTATAATGGACAAAGAGTTTTTGGAGGTACATTAGTTTCTTATTTTACCTTATAGTAGCATATTTTTTTAGAAGTAACTTTACTATTTAAGTATAGAAAATGTTAACCAAGTATGGCAAATATCACCTGGAGAGAAAATAATGTCCCTAAAATACCATGGCAAATATCGCCTAGTGAGAAAACAATGTCCCTAAAATGGTTCCGACAATTCGCATCTATATGAATAGGAGCTGCGAAATGCGAATATTCGTATTTCGCAAATTCGTAAATTCGCAAATTCGCATCTATATGAACTCGGCTTTAAAGTTACTAAATTTTTCAATTTAACAAAATTCTCAAAATAAATACAATTTTTTTTAGCTACGCCAAAGTAAAATCTTTTTATTCAAAGAGTAAAATTAGTAACTCGCGAACAACATGCAAATTGCAAATTAAGGCGATATGTAAAATAAAAATTCCTAAATTCCTGTGTTATTTAATAATGAGAAACCTCTAAAGGTTGAGACTTTTTTACTAAGTCATAATCTAAGGAATTTTCATATAGTTTTTTTTTTCAAAAAACAACGTCCAAGGTAGAATCTTAATTTTAAAAGTTTGATAAATAAATTTAAGTAGGCCGTGACAGCAAATTCAGCATTGCCAATGTAGTAAAAATAAATCGTTGTATATTAATTAACAAATTTACACTTTATTATTAATTGAAGTATCATTCAAAACTAAAAACAACATAAAAAGTACATAAGTAACAATATAAATTGGTAATTTGTTGTTATAATGGCAAAATTGAGGTTTAAAACTGTCATCTTTTTTGTTTCCCTAAGTTGGCAGCACAAGATTTAAAATGACAATTTTAAAAAGTGCTAAAAAATGTTTTTTGAGATTTCCATATAAATTACCTATACTATAATAATTTGTAAAAATTTCATATGAAAACAAATGCAACTTAAAAAAATTTCTTATGATCTGCTGTAAAAAAATCATGTCATAAAATCATATATTATGGAAACTTTTCAAATGGATATACCTGCTACCTTAATTGTTCCATTTTTACCAAAAATTTGACCAAACAAAGTGAAAAAATAACTCACCAGGTATTCATGGAAAAAGGCACTGAGGAAGAAAACAGTGGTAGCAGCCACATTCTTATTATAACCCATTTCTACCATTGGTAAATAAAGATGTCTTAAACACCACCTGTGAACTGGTAAATTCCAGGTCCTCCAAAAAGAATCAATGTTGGTTGAATTCCACCAATCACTGTAATAACTACGATCAGCAAAATGAAGAATTTCCCCCAGCAAGTTTAACCATGAGTGGAAAAGTATGTAGAACATGCATAACCATGCCAAATGATTGGGCATCTAAAAACAAGTCATGAAAATATTTAAAAAAAAAAATTTATTTATTTATGCCATACCGCAAGTTTAAGTAGTCTTTCCATAGACCTGGCATAATCCAAATTGCTGAATGGAATTAAAGAATTCTTCACAGAAGGAATCATATATTGCTGTATAATACACAAAATCAATTGAAAACCTAAAATAACCTCCACAATTCTCTTCAACAAAAACCTTTTTCTTATTCTGTCGGTTTTTGGGAAGTTCAATTCATAACACAGAGTAGGAGCAAACAAAAAGTAATATAAATCCTTTAAAGTTAAATTATCAGGGTAGTTCACTAACTCGTTTTCTTTGTCTTTTGTTTTTTTGTCTTGCAATTGTTTTTTGCCATTTGTTTCACCACAATCAGGTAGATTATTGGAGGATAAAGAAGATCTTCTCAAAGTGGATTTATGTTGTTGCCTAGCCGTCCTACACCACAAGTTTACTTGTACGTATGACCATAATTTCAAAAATAATACGCTGTATAGAGTGCTGACTAAGGAGGCACCAACTGTAAGAAATAAGAATTAGTGAAAGTCACTAGATGCAACAGAAAACGTACTAAAACTAAAACCATCTTGCACGTGTATTACAACCATGGGCAAAATAATGAGTGCAAGTAAATTTGCAACATGGGTGAACATTCCTATTGCTTGAGGGATAATTTCCTAAAAAATAAGAATTAGTGGTTTGAAATAAAACAATTACCTACTGCAAATAAAAAAAATAATCAATATTTAAATAAGGATTTTTTTTTAATAATTGAGGTTATGTATCTGTCACTGACAGGGTTGGGTATCTACCTACATTTTTGTTTTCGACATGTAGAAAACCTTTTTCGACGTTTTCGACGGTAGAAAACGTAAAAAAGTAGAATACTGTCAAATATCAAAAAATGTGAGGTTATGCAAGTTTGTTGTTTATTATGATTTGTTAAATGTTGTGAAAAATCAGACACCTACCATAAATTTGAAGTTATTTGGAGTTTTTTAACATTATTATGGTGGGAAAAAAAGGGCCACGTATGGTTGGGAGACCCCAACATAATTTTAGGCATGAGGGCAAATTTTTATCAATTATAGAGAAGTGGAAGGAGAAGGTCGAATAAGGTAATTTACGTAGGTAGAAAACCCTATAGGTTTTCGACGCAAGTCGAAAACAAGTTTTCTACCCTTTTCTACCAAGGTAAATTACCTAAGGTTTTCTACTGACCCAACCCTGGTCACTGACGCTAATTTCGTCCCATTTTCTGAAAATAATATTAAATTTTTATTTTTTTGCGTTTTAAATTAGGACCTTTATACACATTTTTTTATATTCAGAAAATAAGACAAAATTAGTGTTGCTGATGCAGAGCATATTACTTACAACAGAAATCCCCTTTTCAACTAATATACAGAACACAATCGGCACATTGGAATCTAAAAACAGCAAATATGAATTATTTTATAGGTACTTGATTAATAAAAAATATTTTTACATAATATTAAAACAACTGAAGGATGTCCTGCTCCATCGTCATCCTTCCCACTTAAAATATACAACCATTGGATGGGATCAATTCTTATACCATATCTACAATAATTTATTATTGCTATTTGTATGTTAAAAAATAATAAAATATTACTTTATAAAATTCTCAAGAAAAAGTCTTAAACCTCCAATGGAGAGCAGTAGAAAGCCCCAATTTACAAAACCTGTAAATTGGGTAAATCCTGAGGTCCATGAAAATAGTGAATCTCTGGGTTGATGACATCTAAAATTAACATAAATAAACACTGAAATAATTTGTAATCTCACATTCAATTAATAATTTAATGACACTTATATAACTAACGATGTTTTTTTGTTATTATTGCAATCCAATCATTATATTTCGTTTATTGTGGTGGTTGCACTTGGGTGAAAAAAACACCGCCTTGATTTTCGTGTTATTTTAAGGTTATGACTTACAAGTCCTCTATTTTTAACTTACGGTTTATCTGGCTGTTTTCTTCGCACTTTTTTTTCGACGTCCTTTATTTCTTCGGCCCTGGTCACACTTTGGGCCCTTTTTCTCAACCCCTCGGTCTGTTCGTTGCTCATTTTTATCTACTTATGTTAAAGCATCTGTTTTAATTTTAGTATTTTTCGATAACTTTTGATCTTATCATTTGTGATTAATACCGAACTGTAGTACTGTGGACTCATCAAGCACCTTCAATAAACATATCATAATTATTTCAAATGATTAATAGAAGGAGACGGAAATCGAACTCTGATTTTCCACGGATGTGGAAGTGAGAAACAATATCATTCTCGAGACACGACCGGCTTTTTTACTGATATACGATTTTTTTGGGTATATAAATACTTAAACTAATATTACAAGAGGCATAGAAAAAAAATGTGAAGGTGTCCCAGGCCAAGGGTTACCAGTGCATATAGAATGTTATTTCAACTCAAGCTTTTAAAAGCTCCTAATTATTTTAAATATTTTTTTACATCTATAGATTTTATACAGCAATGTCAAAAATAATAAATTATAGACATTTTATATACCTTATATAATTTATATTATTATTATGTAACTACATATATTTATTATTATTAAATTTAAAATATACATCTTATCTGAATTGATTAATTAATATGAGGTTTGTGCACGTCATAAATATATATCCTTAAGCTGTGGTTTGGGACCCAAACCACAGCATAAGGATAAACTTTCAAATAGAAAAATAAAGTCTGTGTTTTAAATATTATACAGAAATGGTGTGTAACCTTTAAAGGGTCATAATAATTATAATAATAATTATGATCTGCAGTGTTGATTATATATTATAATATATATAATATTATTATAATGACAATTTTGATTGGGAATATAATTAAATATTTTTTAACGGTACATATGTACATACCTTCAATAACTACTATTGTTTTTCAACAAACTGAATTTAGATATATAAAAAAAAACTTATATAAAATATATGTACTGGTCAAGGCTACTTCTGATAGGATAGTCAACACCGTTGAAAAAGAGTGCTTTAGCGAATTGTGATTGGTCAGTCAAAAATCGAGTGTGCCACGCCCACCGCTTGAAATCTACGGCACTTTTTGTACGTGGTATACTGGCGTATAATTTATACGCGGTATACTGGCGTATAATTTATACGCCAGTATACCATAGTATCATAGTACTTTAAACCTACATTATATACATAATATTTTTTAAATTAAAAAAGTAGGTAGGTATAGAGTGTATACGATAGACAGAAATACGATAAGCAAATAAAAAAGGATTAGGTAAGAAAAATTGCTGTATCTGCAACTTTTGGTAGTAAAAATATAGCTATTTACATACCATAGGAGGAAAATAATGCGTTTCCTCCCGTGAATAGTTTGATGCCCGACGCGAAGCGAAGGGCATTAAATATTCAAGGGAGGAAACGCATTTTCCTCCTGAGGTATGTATATGGTTTTTTCTATTACCTTTTAACGGTTTTAAAGACAATTTAAGGGTTCGGGTTATTTTTACTAACCCGGTATGGGGCTATAATATTATGACAAAATATTAAGTAGGATTTGCGTCGCCGACGTTGTGTTGACAACGCTTTGTTGCTATGGTGTTTTTGTAAAACAAACATAACAGTTGTTATAAGCTGTCAGGTTATCATAAATTTGAAATTCTTCCTACGTTTTAAAAATGAGTTCTAGCGAAGAAGACCTGCCGCAAGATCTTGCTGAAGAGGCAAGAGTAGTTGAAATTAATCTTCTTTCTCAAAAATCGAAAAAGCGATATAAAAAGGAATGTAGTCTTGTATTTTTTTGTAACTTTAACACTGCTAAAACATTTGTTATAAGCAAAAAACTAAACTAAACTAAACAAAGAATGGTTGAACAAGCGCGGAGTAAATCTTTTTCGTACAAAATCAAATAAGGCTAGACATGGTACAAAACTCTTGCTAATGTAAAATTGTTAAAAAAAATAGAGGGAGGAAATATTTTTTCCTCCCGGGGAGGAAAAGAGGCATTTTCCTCCCTCGCTCGGGGGTGGAAAATTAAGTTTTCCATTAAGGTAGTAAAAAAAAATATTTAATTAATTTTGGTTTAAAAATATCTTATTCTATATACCTTTTTATATGCAGGATCATTTTCGTAATTCTATAATATATATCTTATTAAGATTCTTTTAAAAAAATATTTAAATACTAATTACCTAAACATTTTCTGTTCTTATTACCAAATTTTGCCTTTCTTAGAACGGCAGTATTATACTATTATATCAGCAATAATAACAATTTAAAAATAATAATAATTTAAAAAATGTATACATATCTTACCAAGTTTAAACAGTCTTGAAAAAAAAATTAAAAATTTTTAACATATTGTAGACAGTCTTAAAGAAGTTAAATTTAAAAAAAATTAAAAACATAAACACAAAATGCGATTGTCTAAGTATTTATAGATTTACTACAAAAAACGGTCTGATCTTCTAGAGTTTTGTTTGCAAATTCCGTTATAATATTGTCAATGTTTAATGTCTTAATAAACTCATATGTTTAATACTAATAATTGATAAATTACAAAGACGTTGTTTTCCCATAGTGTTACGAAGATATGTTTTCACTATTTTTAGTTTCGAAAAAGAACGCCTTGGGCCCCCTGACCGTCTGGGCCCCCCCGCGGTGCGGGGTCTGCGGGGGTGCTTATTACGCCACTGCGTATAAATATAAATACCATTTTCTAAAAAATTAGACATGATCTGTCAACTTTGCATTGGTGCACAGTCTGGCAACGTTGGTTCACTGGAACTATTCTTTTTGGTTCATTCAATGAACTTCATTGTGCCTACTTATTGTAGAACTACGAGAGTTTATAGAAATTCTATAATATAATACAGCCTGTTTTATTTAGAACAAAAAGATAACTTTACGGTGCATGCTTAAGCATAATTATGTAAAGTAGCATATTTGTAGTACAAATTTTGTACCCACAATTCTTGGTTACAAATTCCCCCCTGCGTACGCCTCTGGTAGCGAGTCGAAAAACTCCAAAGCCAAGCAAAAAAAACATTGGTTATAACAGTACGCCCATGTTATATTAAGTCAATTGCGACGATCAGAGATATGGAGGTGGGGAGAATGAGCTTCGACCATTGCGCATCCGATTTTTGCCCGACGCTCTGTAGGCTGCCATTTTCTAGTCGATGACGTTATTTGTTTAGTAAACACCGAGTTTCGAGGTTATAATTTTTCACGTTCGTTTTAAGTATTAATACAAATTTGTATTTAACGGTTTGTTCTATAGTGTTCTGTTGTTTTGTGCTTCATTATGGCTTGTTGTGCTGTAAAAGACTGTAAGAATAACAGAAAATTTCCAACCCCGGGTAGGTATAAGTTTTCATGTGTAAGTACATATTTACATTTTAAATTTTTAACAATAGTTACAATAATACCTATACTATTTAAAGGTTTCCCAAAGGAGAGCTTCAAAAAGTATGGCTTAATTTAATTGGAAAATCAGAAGAAAATTGGACTTGGAATAAAAATAAAGTTATTTGTTCGGAGCACTTTAAAAATGAAGATTTTGCTATGCGTTTTGGCAAAAGGTTTTTAAAATTAAATAGTGTGCCTTCTCTAAAACTGGAAAAATCAAAATCCAAACCATCTTGTCAGGTTATAAGCACTGCATTAACTTTGTATTCAGATTCTGAGGCATCAACAAGTAAAGTTAAAACTAAACTTCAAGAGTCTACGTCATCAACGGATGAAAGTATATTAAAGAAACAAATAAGGAGAAAACAAAAGATTGAAACTAGGTAATATAAATTAAATGCCTTTAATTTTATATTTTTAATAACCTTCAATTTGTAGAGGAGAAGCAAGCCAAAATACTTCTGCAGCTAGTACCAGTACTGACAGCAGTGCAAAACAAAAGAAAATTAAATTTGTCAAAACTATACACAACTATAGGTAGGCAATGCTTAGTGAAGTTAAAATATTTGTCTACTTCGATGCTTTTAAGAACTTCTTAAAAGCATTTATTTTAGGATTTTATTTATTTCTAAACGTTAAGATGATACCAAGTACTTGTTATCACAATAAGGGTCATTGTAACACTAGGTTTACAATATACTATTATTTAATTAATTTTGAATTACTTTTTTGTGGTTGTTTTATTTATTATTTTTTATTTTAGTATATCTCCTTCAAAAGTTAAGAAAATGAATACAGATTTAAAACAAAGGCAAGCAGCTTATAGGAAAAAACTTTATGGTGCAAATAAAGAAATAAAATCTTTAAAACATAAAATTTTAACCATGCAGGTGGTAATGGAGCATCTAAAAAAAAATCAAAGTGTATCTGAAAATGCTGCTGATCATTTAGAAAAAACATATGGTAGTGTTCCCCATCTATTAATGAATAGATATTTAAAAAATATTAAAAATGAAACCATAACACATGAGTCTTATCCTCCAGTATTAAGAGAATTTGCCGCAACCTTGCAATTTTATTCCAGTAAAGCATATGAAGAGGTTAGAAAAGAATTTGCAATGGCTTTGCCTCATCAGGCCACAGTTAGAAAATGGTATCAAAATGTTAACTGTGAACCAGGGTTTGTTTCAGCAGCATTTGATGCTCTGAAGCTAAGAGTGGAAGAATCTCAGTCCAACAATAAAGAAGTTTTTGGTTCTCTCCTATTAGATGAGATGTCAATTAAAAAAAGTTTGGAATTTGATGGAAAACAAATGTGGGGATATGTAAATGTTGGTGTCCCAACCGAAAATGACGAATTACAACCAGCAACTGAAGTATTAGTCATTATGGTTGTTTGTCATACTGGACATTGGAAGATACCCATTGGATATTTTTTTATTGTTTCACTTTCTGCAAAAGAAAAAGCAAATTTAATACGAGAAAGCCTAATTCGATTGCATGAAATAGGAGTAATAATAACTTCAGTCACATCTGATGGACCCAGTACAAATTTTGCCATGATGAAAGAATTAGGATGTATATTTGATAATGTTCATAATTTAAAAACTTGGTTTAATCACCCCTCTGCTAATTCCCAAAAAGTGTTTTGTATATTAGATGCATGTCATATGGTGAAACTTATGAGAAATAATTTTGCAAGTTTACAAATTATAAAAGATCCTAATGGAAATAATATTTGCTGGTCATACATAAAAAAATTATATGAACTTCAAGAAAATGAGGGCCTACATATAGCAAATAAACTTAAAAAGGCACATTTGGAATGGCATAGGCAAAAAATGAAGGTAGGTTTTTTTATTAAGTAAATCAGTAAATCATTAAATTTAATTTTAGGTTCACTTAGCAGCTCAAACGCTAAGTAATAGTATTGCTGATGCCATAGATTTTCTTAATAAAAAAATGGGTATACAGGAATTTAAAGAAAGTGAAGCCACTACAAATTTTATAAGAAAAGTGAATTGTCTCTTTGATATTTTAAATTCCCGAAGTCCACAGGCTAAAGGATTTAAATCTCCTTTAAGAATTTCTAATGAAAATGTTTGGAGGCCTTTTTTAATGGAAACAGTCCAATATTTATCAAGATGTACAGATGTTGGGGGAAGACCTTTATGGCTTACCCCAAAAAAAACTCCCTTTATTGGTTTTTCCATTACATCTATGTCTGTTTGTGGAATTTTTGATGAATTTGTTAAGTCTGGCAAACTAAACTATTTTTTGACTTACAAGGTATCCCAAGACCATTTAGAAATATTCTTTTGTTCTGTAAGGTAAGTTAAATATAAATTTTTTGAAACTATATAATATTTTTAACCAATTTATTTTAGAAGTAGAAATGGATGGAATAATAATCCTACTTGTCTACAGTTTAAAAATACTTTTAGAAGATTATTATTGCATACAAAAATTTCTCAGGGAGAAGGCAATTGTAAGGTTTTAGATGCTACCACTGTATTATCCATACCCAGTACTTCAGTAAAATCAACTGTGGAGGAAGTGGATTTCTCCATGTATAGGAAGTTCAGCTATGAACCTGCAGATTTTTTGTTGGATCATAATTATGACATATTAAGTGGTGTAGTTGAACTGAATACACTAACATCAAATGTTGTGACTTACATTAGTGGTTATGTAGTCAAAATGCTGGAGGAAAGTAATAAATGTGCAGAATGTATACTGGGATGCAGATCAACTATGGATGCCATTAATGATGAATCATATTCTTTAATTTCATTCAAGGATAAAGGTAAAGTAAATGCATACTTCAATACATGCTAATGCATACTTTATTTTTAGGAGGCTTGCATATTCCTTCATATGGATTCCCTGTTGTAAATGACATATAAAATCATATATGAAAAATCCCTGCTGGTTCCATTATTATACTATATGATTTTTGAAACAGACATTACATATAAGACCATATTCATATTCATTTCTACACAGGCATATAAAAAACTGACCATATACAATTTATTACCTATAAATTCATATTCATTCATATATGATTTAAGATGGATTTTCATATAAATTTCTGTCATATAAAACCATATAAACACATACAGTTCATAATACTGATTACATATTGAATCCATAGTGTCATATAACAAACTATAAAAACATATAGAAACACTGTACGGATTCTATATGTTTCTACTGGTCATTTTCAACAGGGTTGGTAAAAATCTGTCAAGGAGTAGAAATTGCCATAAAGAATATGCTACTAACTCAACAGATAACAAAATACCCAAGGAAAAAAATTTTATGGACATTTTTGTCATTGCTAATGCACAAAAATATTATACTGATATTTATAATCTTTTTCCTATTTTACACAATCATTTTTTGGAATCTGCACCTTGCGATGAAAATCATGGATTTCTTTTGGTTAAAAATATTGTTCGTTCATATGCAAAAATACGTCTTTATAATTTAGCCAAAAAACATACAGAAACGATTCAAGGAAATGCAGTTAGGAGACAGCTTAATAAATTAATATTGTTTAACCATCAGTAATATGTTAAAATTTACATAATAATTTGGTAATGTTTGTAAATTGTTTTTATACCACGTTGACCGTCATAAAACCTAAATCTTTGAGAAATTTAGTAATTCTCTAACTTAGTTTACTATGTCCATTGTTAATTTCGATTTAGGAAAAGTTTTTAATCCTCCAAATTGGTTTATAATCCCATCTGGAAATTTTTACAGCTTTACAATGTATGTTTAATCTTTATTGCATTATATTTGCCTCTATAAATACTCTATTAATCTCCCATTGTAAAGCTGGCAATACTCAGAACCTTTTCCTACCCTTGATCCTATTGCCACAACTACCCTTAGAGGAGACAACCATCATCTTGCATCTAAAGTCAAACATTTTTATATTTTCAGTTTTAAACAAATATACGATTCTATTTTAATAAGTATTGTGTATGACGATTGTTGTAATGTAAAATATGTGTTTGAATTGTAATGTATATACATATATGTATATAGAGGTGTCCCTCTATAAACTATCTTTTATATGTTTTTTGCGACGAATAAAGAATTATTTATTATTATTAAGTAACAACTTAACTTTTATTTCATACCAATCATACCAGGATTATTAAAATATATTATTTTATTAAAATTTAATTTGAATAATACTTAAACCTAAACAAATGAATAAAATAATTTTTAACAATCATTAAATTATTTTATTTTATTACAATTTAATTTGAAAAATACCCATACTTAAACAAATAAATAAAATAACAAATTTTAACAATTATTAAAATATATTTTGTTAAAATTTTATTTGAATAATTCCCAAACTTAAACAAATGAATAATAAAATTACAATTTTTTATTAAATATAGTTTTTTCTTTTATTTTTTACATAATATAAGATTAACATTCAATCTTTTTACTAAAAATAATTGTATTTTTCTAAAACAACAATTTTCTCATTTTTATATTGCATATTTTTCACGTTTTAAAGTTAAAAACATTTTAAATTTATATTTTAAATAACCCCGATAACACATTTTTAATTGCTCCTCGTATATTTGAAATAGCCCTGGTAAAACATTTTCAATTACCCCTCGTATAGTAACCTAGAAGATGGCGGCGCCCATGATTAGGAAGTTTGCGCATATTGACACTCATTCTCCCTACCTCCATATCTCTGGCGACGATGCGCCTATGCCATAGGCCCTATGGTAAACGTTTGACGTTTGTGACGTTTACACGGCAGAACCTAACCTCACAATTTTAAATTTTGTAAACGTAGCAATAAATTAACGTAATTGATGATAATTTGACCGCAAAACATGTTGGAAGTTTTGGAGAAACTTAGGAGATTCGATGCGTACCCCAAAACCGTCGAAGATGTACGCATTAAAACATACGGAGGGGCTGCGAGTAAGTTGAGACATTGGTTTAATTATAAAGAAATAATTTATTAATAATATTTCAGTAACGATCATAAGCGTTGTTATTATGAGTTTGCTGTTCTGGGCGGAATTTCTCGATTATTTGTCTTCTGACGTATCAGAGGAATTGTTTGTGGATACCTCAAGGAGTCCTAATATACAGATAAATTTGGATTTTGTTATTCCAGCCATCTCCTGTGATTGTAAGAATAAGTTTAACATTATTAAGACTAAAATTAAATTCGAATGAAATTCATATTAATAAATAACTTATTAGCTATAATTTTCTTACACAATTTCAATGTATTTTAAGAGTTTTGGCAACATTGCTAAACTTTCTAACTAAAAAAGTTGTGTGGTAAAATATTTTTTTTTTAATTTCTTTAAATTGCGCATTTGTTTATGTTTTATAGATCAAAAGTTTGGACAGGAATTTATAGGTCATTTAATTACCTACAAAATTGTTCCCTACAATTTTATTCCACCATTAATATTTTAAAACTTATACTTATTTTTATGATTTTTTAATTGTAGGTAAGTTACCTACCTAAGGTAAATAATTGCTGCATAAAAAAAACATTAAAGGTTAAATAGGATGGGAAATTGTAGGACATTTAATTAATTTCAAATGTGTTCCTTACAATTTTATTGCACCATTATTATTTTAAAACTTATAGGTACTTAAATTTATGATTTTTTAATTGTGGGTGTAAGTGACCTAAGGTATTTAATTGCTTCAGAAAAAAATACATTAAAGGTTAGGTAATTAACTTTTTGTTAAATATAATACTTTATACTTTAGCATATACATAACTTTTCAACTATTAAGATATAAAAAAATTGTTTAGAACAAATTTGTATAGAATCAAAAATGATGCAAATTTGACTGTTAACTTTTATGACCTAGGTATTATTAATAAAAAACGCGCAAATTAAAAAATATTTTTTGCACCCAACAAGTGCAGCCACCACAATAAGCAAAATATTAGCAATAGAAACTGGAGTGATTTTTTTTAGAAAATCTAATGGTCCTAAATGATTGTTGGTTATTTACCTATATGAAAAAATAGGTTCCAGGAAGAAATAATGAAAAAAAGGATTTCCACTATATTGGGTGGTAAATCATTTGCATTTTCTAAAACAAAATATGTAAAAAAATCTATAATATAATAGAATAATTATTCTATATTTCTATTATATTCTATTATTCAGAAAAAATGCCTCATCTACAAGTTTTCAACAATAAAAATTATCTTTTGTGCTTAATTTCTTAATTTCTATTGTAGATAAGGAATGCTTGCCTAACAGGGCAGCTAAATTATACCCCTCTTAAGAGATCATTTTTATTGTTGAAAACTTGTAGATGAGGCATTTTCTCTTAACAGAACAGCTGCATTTATACCCCTTTTATTCTAAAGCCCCCAATTGTCAAAGTTTTAGCATTATAGATATTGGCATAGCACTATTACTATTATTCAAATGTCAAGGTGTATATACCTTGACATTTGAATAAAAATAATTGAGGTTATCTATGCGCCAGTTTAACGCTAATTTTGTCATATTTTCTGAAAATAATACAGTTAATGCATTTTTTGTTTATATATGTACATAGGTTCTAATTCAGAATACGAAAAATACATATATTGTATATAATATAAAACGAAATTAGAGTTAAACTGACAGATAGAGAACCCCAATAATTAGTATTCAAATGTTAACGTGGGACTTTTTCATATGGGGTACATTATCAGAGATTCTCTATACTTTGGAGTAAAATAAGAAATAAAACATATTTTTTATAACAAAAAACTGCACTATTTATATATACATTGTGACCCATTTGTTTGCGACTCACCCCTGTAAAATCTTTATTTATTGTGCGATTTTAACCGGATTTGTTTTAAACTGTAGATTTTGATAAACTGTATTTTTAAAGCAAAAAACGCCATATTTTTACAAAATACAAGGCCTACTATGTCAATTTTTAAGAGTAAATTTTTAAGAATTCATATTAGCGATTTTTTGAAACAAAATCTAAGCACGGCACTGGATTCACCACCCCTCAAAACTACCCTAAACTAAATTTTATTAAAAAATATTAAGAAAAAAATGCAGAATAATAACTACAAAAATTTATTTTGTCAAGTTATCCATGAAAAAACATTGAAATAAAATTAAACTTATAGTAATAGTACCATGTTAATAAGAAAATTTTCTTTTTTTTTTACCAAACAAAGTGGAAAATTATATCCAACTTAAGTGGACCTTCTTAAGGCAATTAAATCTACCTAGACAGTTATCCCTATTTAAAATCAAAATTGCAAAATCAATTTCATTAAAGGTTTTTTTCTTTAATTTTTCTCCAATGGAGAATCTCCCTAATATGGAGTCCATATGTCATAAATTTCTTTACTAATTAAAAAATATTTGTTTTAAACAAAGGGAGTAAATACACACATTACCAAATAATTAAATCTTTTTCTTTATGTGTTAAACAGTATTTTGTATTATATATTTTATACTTTTTTTATATTCTATATTTATATTTTATACTCATATTTTCTGTGATATGTACCTGTTATAGAATCCTGTATTCTTTTAGGGTTTAATAAATAAATAAAAAAAAAATGTAATAGAGTAAAATTAACTTAACTAATATGTTTTAATAAAGTTTTAGCCTTAGATGCAATGGATTCTTCCGGGGAAGAACATTTGCAAATTGACCACAGTATTTTCAAACGAAGGCTTGATTTAAAAGGTAAACCAATAGAGGAACCAAAAAAAGAAGACATAACGATAAAAGCGAAAAACATCACCGAAATAGCAGTGAACAGAACGGAGTGCGGAAGTTGCTACGGGGCGGCCTTGGACCCGAAAAAGTGCTGCAACACTTGCGAGGATGTCAGGGAGGCGTACAGGGAGCGCAGGTGGGCGCTGGAAAATTTGGACAACATAACTCAGTGCAAGGAGGAAAAGTTTAGCGAAAAATTGAAGACGGCGTTCGAGCAAGGCTGCCAGATTTACGGGACCCTTGTGGTCAACAGGGTCAGCGGGAGCTTTCACATAGCGCCCGGTAAAAGTTTTAGCGTGAATCATGCGCACGTTCACGATGTGCAGCCTTTTTCGTCGATAAACTTTAATACTTCCCATCATATTAGGCATTTATCGTTTGGGACCAGTATTGACAGTCAAACGCACAATCCTCTGAAGGATAATTATGGACATGCTGAAGAAGGTAAGAAAAAAATACACACAAATTATTCCGACAATTAGTTTTGGTCTATAAGGTTTTTAAAATTTAAGTTTGTTTTAAAAACATTTGGGTCATTATACCCCCTAGACTATTTTTTGTAAAGTAATTATAATTACAACACAATTATTGTGTTGTTTTAGTCCATAATATTAATATTAAGAGGTCTATCATCGCAATTTAAAATTTTTATTTCCTGAGGAGTTTTTGTCTCAGAACTCCCAAAACATGGAGTTTAACAAAATTGACTTGGAAATATTTTTTAAGGAAATTGAATGCTCTACAAAAAAGGTCTTAATGAAATTTTTTGTCAGATGAACCGTTTCCTTAAAATCATGCCTTAAAAATTGGTATAGTTTTACCGTTGAGTGAAGAAGTCAATCACGGCGTTCTCTATAGTTCTCAATGGTTTTACAATTTGATCTTTATAAATTAATTATTTATTGAAAATTGTTAATTAGTTATATTCTATACAAAACTAATTAACAATTTCCAAGTAAAAAACATGATTGTTATTATTTAAACGATTAAATAACAGTAAAAATTATATTTTCTAAAGAAAATACCTTCTTAAAGCGAAAAAATTTGTTGTAATTTTTTTTTAATTTTTAGTAATTTTATCAACAACATAAAGATTATCATCGATAAAAGAATTCAAGTTTTTAACTGACCCAAAAAAATCTACATCTACATGAATTACAAAATTCCAAAGTTAAAAGATCAAATTGTAAAACTATACCAATTTTTAAGGCACGATTGTAAGTCTATTTTTTTGGCCCAGTCTAATACCCCCTTGTGGATTTTTTTTTCTGAAAAAGTTTTAATAAATAAAAATAAGAGTTTTGAAAGTCTTACTTCCTCTTAAAAATTCTGAATAAGACTTATTAAGTTGAAAAAGTCAGAATAATACTTACTATAGTAAGTATTAAGTATTATATTTATATGTCTGAAAAGTCATTTTGCATGTCATTGCATTCATTAAAGACAGAAATTGGTTTACTTTACAGGAAAAAGAAAATTAAATACTGCTAATACTTACCGAGTAAGATAACCTTCAAAAACACACGCCGCTTGTTTGTAACGCGCAAAATAACGCGCCACAGTTATAAACTACATGCGTTACAGAGTTCTTTTATATGTAATGCTAAACTCCCGTGTATTTTATAACAAAGCTGTTTTTATTTAGGCGGTTTGTGACAAAGAAAACATTAAATATAACGGTGGTGACGAAGTAGACATTAAATATAAGTACAAAGTTTGGTCATGCTTACAAAATTATTCACGGACATTTTATCACATTCTTTATTTGTACTGAGGAGCAGTGTTGCCACCCCCAATTATTTTTTACCGGTAGATAACTCTTTCAAAATTTGGTAGAAATCGGATGTGTTATTTAACAAAACAAAAACTATATCTGAAGTCAAATAGTTTAATTGCGGCTTAATTTATAACCTTAAAATATTCGAACATTATGATGCTAAGAAGCTAACATTAAAAATTAACACGGAAGAGTTTCATTACTCGATAAAAAGTTCAAATGTCGCACCCGTTACATTTTGAGAAAATTTTAGAAAATTAAGTATACAAAATTTGTGCTCGTTTGAGGTTACTATTTAAGTTTTACACAAAAAATATTACTATATGCTTTCATACAAAATTTTACCGTATCAACTTTAGAAGCCAACTTGGTCGCATTTGTCGATTTTCTAAGGTCGCGCCCGTTACGCGATTCATGACGTTATAAAAGGTTTTCTATAGATATATATACGAGTTTTAAAAACTTTTTATTGACATTTTGTTTGGGTTAAATATCTAATTTCGTATTTTTTTTTATATTAACGTATCTTGATATACAAACACTTTATTATCATGAAAAACACAGCGTCAGTGTAGCACCATTTCCATAGAAATTTTTTCTTTTTGTAAATACATTAATGAATGGTTTACTAGTAATTATTTTTATTTTGTTTTGGTGTAATTTTGAGCTTCTATGTTTAAAAAGAGCATCTTTATAACTATTATTTTATCGCTTTCTCTTGCTTAAAATTATTAAATTAAAATGTACCGAATAATAAAAATCGAAAATCGGTAGAAAATAAGGCCTTTTCGGTAGATGGACTGCCAAATCGGTAGAGGTGGCAACACTGCTGAGGTGATACTTATTTTTTATTTCATTTTAGTTTTAGAATTCTGTTTCATGCAAAACCTATGAAATATATTCAAGTTTTCACCATTGCAATATAATGGGGACATGGGGTTATAGAGTGACTTTCAACCTTAATTAAGACATTAAATTTTTTTTTATAAAAAATGCATTTGTCTTAAAAAATGAAATATTAAAAAAAATGTCCTGATATGTTAAATTGGGTACATACAGTATACAAATATCATCAACTGTAAAAAATATAATAACCCAAATATTTTGAAGGAAACTTCATCTCTTTTTATTACCTAATACCAAATATGTAATGCAATTTAAAATAAAACCACCAATTTTAACTTAACAAAATGTATTATAGAAAAAGTCTTAGTTTCTACATAGATATACCTTTTATATAAATAATAAAAACGTAATGTTTAGGTCAAGAATGTAATAAAATTTCTTGCATCTACATTTTCTCTGAGATTGTTGAACTAACACCGTAAGCCTGAACCAATTGCTAAAAACGTGCCAAACGAACCGCCACCTTGTAACATCACTTTTCCCACTGTGTTTACTAGTTCTTTACCTCGCATGCCACCTCTAAAACAAAGAAGAATAAGATTTTGTTGAGGATTTTTATTTGGTTTTACTACCGCAATGCAGAAAATCCCCCAAACAAGGCACCACTAGCCATACCAACGCAAAAACCGAGGAAAAAACCCATCTTCATTTTGTCCACACACGATGGGCCTTGCTGTTGGTATACTCCGCCGGGTACAGGCATTTTAAGCTAAAATAAGATGTTAACATAACCTTTAAATTGCCGCATTGTAAAAGTGACAACTCACGTTTTAAATTTTACCGAGTGTATTTAAATTGTTTAATTTGTATTAATAATTTTGATTTTTGCCTCTAATATACGTCAATTAATAGAAATTTTGAAGACAAAACTATGAAATATTTGACACTCAGCTAACAGCCGATAATACGGTGACCTGTATTTAATTTTTATTATAAAACTTTGGTATTTTTGCTTTTACATAAAAACTAGCTACAAATTATGCTATAAAACGTAATCAATCATCACCGGCATTACGTTTCTATCAATAAATCAAAGAAATTTTGATCAATTACGTAATATTTGTAAAGTCAACAGGACCGTACTAAATTTATTTTTCATTATTTTATTAATAAAAATTAATAATAATTTCAGGGGCGACCATGTTCCAGTACCACCTAAAAATCGTCCCAACTTCGTACGTCAAAAAAGACAACTCGATAATTAATTCGAACCAATTTTCCGTCACCAAACATCGTAAAGTAATTTCTTTGATGAGCGGCGAATCTGGTATGCCCGGTGTGTTTTTCCAATACGAATTATCGCCCCTTATGGTGAAATACACTGAACGCGAAAGATCTTTTGGTCATTTCGCGACGAACGTTTGCGCGATCATTGGTGGTGTTTACACGGTTGCAGGTTTATTGGACACCATCTTTTATCACTTTTACAAAGTTATTCATGGCAAAATCGAAATAGGAAAAGTCAATTAAGTAAAAGAATAATAATATTAAGAATAAAACATCACCGAAAATCAATGACTTTTATTTTTCCCTTCATTAAAATTTTTTAGTACGGACCTGTGCAATCCCTGGACTTTGACATTACTGATAACCTCCAAACTAGAAGCTTCTAGAACATTGAATATATTTTCAATAAAAATACATTTAAATAAAAAAAATAACGTCCCATTTATTCCTTTATCATTAAAACACCTAATTAAAAGACAAAAATCCATGCATTTCAGTTATAATTCGAAATATTCCAGATTTTCTTTGTAAACTTCTGTGGCGCCATCTATTCACATTCATAAAAAGTCAGGATTGATAGTTTTTTTGGGCACGTTATCTCAGAAATTTCTCTGAAGTTCTCGAACCGCTAGCCGTTGAAGAAAGCCGGTGTTTTTTTGGGTCTTATAAGAATTTAGCAAGTCAAATATAATAAAAGGTAAGTCAATTTATGGCTATTTATTATAAATTGTGAGTTAAATTACTTTAGAAGCCGAAAATGTCTGATTTTTGCCGTACGTGCACGTGCTTTAGAAAATCGATTTTTTTAATGTAGGGTGGTATTTTTTCGTTACTGAACGAAATTGTATTCATTTGTATGTAGTTTTGACGTTAAATACGTAATTTTTGAGTAATAATGAGCAAATTAAGTTTGTGTGGTTAAGTTTCCCAATCAGCCATTTTACAAAGTTTCTAGATATCCATGATAAACTGACACATATTCTAAACACGTCAAAATTCATAATTCGAAGGTAATTCAAATTCTTCCCCCATTCATTCAACGCATTATGAATAAACCTAACATTATGTAACTTTATAGATGTATAGATTACCTTCAGCAGTACGTACCGTAGCACTCCAAAAATCCCAAAGAATCGCCCAAGTACAAAGATGGTACGCCAAAGACGTGAGGTTCGGCGCAGAAGTGAGAGCTCTCATGCTCCAGGGCGTGGACGTCCTAGCCGACGCCGTAGCCGTGACCATGGGCCCCAAGGGCCGCAACGTCATTATTGAACAGTCGTGGGGCTCCCCGAAAATCACCAAGGACGGAGTCACCGTGGCCAAGGGCGTCGAGCTTAAAGACAAATTTCAGAACATTGGTGCCAGGTTGGTGCAAGACGTTGCCAACAATACCAATGAGGAAGCTGGTGATGGCACCACCACTGCCACTGTTTTGGCCAGGTCCATTGCCAAGGAAGGTTTCGAAAACCTTGGCAAGGGTGCTAACCCAGTTGAAATCAGAAAAGGTAGGTTTATTTTATTAAACTAATTACATCATAAAATGACAATTTTTTACATAATCACTTATCTTTAAGATTAATATTGTTATATTAAAAACAATTATCATTATTGTTTTTTATATACAAAGTGTTTCAAAAATGGCGCAATAATGGTATGCAATGCTATTGGGAGGGTTATTTTACAAAAAAATTAGGTTCTATTTATTTAAAATTTTTATGAATTTGCATTTTTTTAAAAGTATAAAACTCAATTTTTTAATGACATAAGGGCAGAAACAATGGAATTGGGGGCCTAGATTAAAAGGGGAATGAGGGCAGCTGCCCTGTTATGCAGAAATGTCTTATTTACAATATTAAATGGAAAGAAAAGTTTTATTAATTAAAAATAATGTTTTGTCCTTTATTACTTATTATTGTAGATAAGGCATTTCTTAACAATTCTAATCTAATTTTTATTGTTTAATAAAAAGCTTCAACAATAATCAACCAAAAAATTTTCACGCATGAAGTGCATATTTAATTGTTTTTAACTTTTTTGTTGCATTAAATTTTTTTAAAATAAAATCGACATTAAATGTCAAATTTTGTCAATTTACTTTGTTCATTTACACCCTAGTGCGTCAATGTTAAAGCCGGCTCCACACTATGCGGTGAACTAGACGAACGTTCGACAAATAGTGTGTATGAATCCACGTTTGACATATTTGTCAAACATTTGCGTTCGTTTACGTTACGATAAAAGGCGGTAAATGGACCCTAGTAGTTTGGACCCCATCCTAAATAAATATCAAATAAAAAATTACACATTTTTTAATAAAGAGAAAAGTTGAGAAAAGCCTTTGAAAAAATTCTTAAAAGCTTTAATATATTAACTATACTACTATACTATAGTATGAAGTTTTTTGTATTAAAGTAATAAATAAGTACACAATGACATTAAAGCCCTTGCAGCAACAATATCATCATTGTTTTTCATTTTGTAATTGCCCACTAAATGTTTCCAACGTTCGTGTATTTCCCGCGCCGGGCACTTTTTTGAATGTCATATTTTCGAATTTGCCTCCATTTTCTGATTGGTTGTGTTATAATAGGCATTGTCAGTCATAAAACAAATAATCTGGGTTGCCTATCTTGGGCGCAGAAAATCGCGCACAGTGTTGCCGTTTGCCCAAAAATGGATATTTTCGTAATACTGCGGGTAAAATATTAGTAATAAGTATTTGCAAATTTTAAAACTAACCAAAGATTTTTTTTTAAATAAATTTACTAAATTTACATAATTATTTCAAAATTCAAATCAATTTTAAACTAACTAAAGATTTTTTTAAATAAATTTACTAAAATAACAATTATTTTATTCTATCCTCTTAACATTCTTCTTGATTATTTCAAAGTTCAGGTTATTTTTCAAAATAGAGTGATAAAGATAAAGATAGCATATTTATACAAGGGACATATTTAAACATGTATAGGACAAGTGAAAACAAATAGAAATAGATAATAAATAAATATAAATAACATAAGCAGGCAACAAATTAAATTGAGTTGGGTCGTAATAATTGAAACAATTTCTACTGGATTCCAGTCGTAAAAATGTATTTCGACCCAGGCAGCACAAATCGACTCACAAATGCGCTACAAAATTTATAAAAATAACTATTTTTTTACTCTTAGAGGTAAAATCGGGTATATCATAATTTTGTTTTAATTGATTCGGCAACACTGCAATTCGCGCAGTAAATGGCGGTTATTTATTTACGTTAGTTTGTCAATTTGAATGTTTTAAAACTGAAAATTGTTGTTTTGCAAAATGAGTAAACCTTTAACTAAAATTTAGAAATAATATATGTTATTATTAAAGGTGGGATATTTAGGTACTAAAAACTGAAAAATAGATAACTAAAAAGGTACTAAAAAAAGCATTTTAGGTTAAAAAAAAAGCATTTTAGGTTAAAAAAACATTTAAAGTTCAAGTTTCGTTTATTATTTTGTTTAGCCGCATACCCAAACACAGAACATACCCACAATAAACTATTTCTATGCAATAAACTGTGTTTCACTGAGTGACACTCACTACACAGAAGTTCTATGACAGAACATAAGCTCACTACAAAGAAGGTAACTGTAAAAAAAGTTACTGTCTGTGACCATAAGAAAAAAGGGGGTAGCGAGTTAAGGGGGGTCTGGCGGCCCCCACCGAATCTGGTAAAATCGTTCCAAAAATCTTGAAGAGGGTCGAAAAACAAGCAGTATAAGCTTTTTACCGACATTACAACCCCAAACGAAAACAGTAATGGCAAAAAATATGATTTTTTGTGATTTTTATTTTTTTCAACCAGTTTAATTTATTTTTAAATGGTTTAAACGCAATTTAAAATTTGTTTTGGATGTATGGTAGTCCCCTGAATTTTTTCAGATTTTTTGGTCAAGTAAAAACATGTGAATTTTAGGTTTAAATGCGAAAAAATCGTGAAAAACGCGTCATTTTCAAGATTCAACCCTCTAATTTTTAGGGTTGTTTTCATTTTCTCGAGGGGTGCTGTATAGTATAGATAGCGGCAATCGTCCTCTTTTGAATGCAGGCAACTGGACTCAATTTGGTCAATTCTGGTGAGCGGGGCGATTTTTTGAAAAAAACTTTCAACTTTCGGTAAATTACGGCGCTACTTGGTATAATGCGTCTTTGCTATAACAAATACATCTCTATAGAGGTTTTTGAGGTCGCTTATCACGAATTTGATGTCAAAAAAATTTTTTGACAACAAAGATATTTGTCGCGAATTATTCGTCCAGCATAGATTCTCACAAATCTTTTCTCTGTTCAAAGCGTTGAACATGTTATTGAAGAAGATAGTGACGAGGATTAAAACTGTAAAATTGTTAACTTAGCTCTGTAAAAAAGTATTATGCTATTTTATATTACTGTGTGACTATTACGTAAGCTTGAATAAAATATGATTTATACCAGAAAATTTAATTTCATTGATTATATTAGTTGAACACGATATTAAAATTGTTTAAGGTAGTTGTCGTGCTATAAGCATACCATCAGAAAATTTTGAATTTTTGTATACTTATTAAGGACATGACAATACATATATCCTTAAAATTTGAAGTCGATTGATCGTCTATAACCCGAGATAAATTCAATTAAAAATTGGATAATTAACATGGATTGTATAGGCTTTCTGTAGTTCTGTACCAGTTTCTTAGTTATACAGAAAAAACTAACTGTCAGAAGCTTTCAAAAAACTAACATTGTTTTAATGTATTTTTGCTGAGTTTAAAAAAAAATAATTAAAAATTTTTGACCGTCCAATTGTTTATAAATAACCGTTTAAAGTTCAACAATTTGTAAAAAGTATACATCACTAGTGTCAGATAAAAACAACTTGGCAAGGCTGTACGCGAGTATAGATATAATTTCCGCAGTAAATTCAAACGTCTGATTCAGTCTCCAATATATCTATTGGTTGAGCATAAGCGACGTTGCCGGATTAAAACTTATGAAAATATTTGAAAGTATTACGTAAAAATAACGTCTCCAGGGTACAGTCTTGCGAACAAATTATGAATCACTTAGCTTATACTTTTACGGTGCGTATAATCTAAAAATTTTTGTCAATATTGTACCACGACAACTACCTTAAATGCTGTGATTCAATGATATTTTTTACATGTGTTAATAAATATTTATGGGTGAATTTGTTGTCAAAAAATTTTCAACTTCGTGATCAGCGACCTCAAAAACCCCTATAGAGATGTATTTTTTATAGCAAAGACGCATTATACCAAGTACGCGCCGTAATTTACCGAAAGTTGAAAATTCGAGTTTTTTTCAAAAAATCGCCCCGCTCACCAGAATTGACCAAATTGAGTCCAGTTGCCTGCATTCAAAAGAAGACGATTGCCGCTATCTATACTATACAGCACCCCTCGGAAAAATGAAAACAACCCTAAAAATTAGAGGGTTGAATCTTGAAAATGACGCGTTTTTCACGATTTTTTCGCATTTAAACCTAAAATTCACATGTTTTTACTTGACCAAAAAATCTGAAAAAATTCAGGGGACTACCATACATCCAAAACAAATTTTTAATTGCGTTTAAACCATTTAAAAATAAATTAAACTGGTTGAAAAAAATAAAAATCACAAAAAATCATATTTTTCGCCATTACTGTGTTTTCGTTTGGGGTTATAATGTCGGTAAAAAGCTTATACTGCTTGTTTTTCGACCCTCTTCAAGATTTTTGGAACGATTTTACCAGATTCGGTGGGGGCCGCCAGACCCCCCTTAACCCGCTACCCCCTTTATACCGTTGAGTTGCACCCCTGGATAAAATATTGGCACAAAATTTAAAAAGGACACAAAAAAATAAAATAAGTAAAAATACGTAAAAATAGGTAACAAATAGGTGAAAATGAACTGACAAATTAAAAAATATGTAACAAAAGTATAAAAAGGTAGTTTAAAGCAAAAAACTCAAAAAAGGTAAAAAAGGTGAAAACAAGTTAAAAAAATAGGTAACAAAAGTATAAAAAAGGTAGTTTAAAGCAAAAACCTCCAAAAAAGGTAAAAAAGGTAAAAACAAGTTAGGTTCATATAAAAGAAAATCTTTTGGCATTATTGGTTTTCAAATAGTTACATCGGTTGAAAAAAGGTAAAATAACTTATTATAAAGCAGATATTTTTATTCTTGTATACCTATAATATTCTCATAAATGTTTGCGAATGCAAACGCGAGTATTCGTTAGTGTGTGAATTTAAATTGCCTCGTCAAGTTCGGCAAACATTTGACGTTCGTCTAGTTCGCCGCATAGTCTGTAGCCGGCCTTACATTTGCGCACGTTGGCAAGGTAAAAAACACATTCTGGCACCGACAAAGGTAAACAAAACGAATGTGACGTTTTTCAAACTCATATCAATTTAAAAAATGTCAACCTTTTTTAACGGTCGTAAAAAAATAAAATTTTCTGTCGTTTCTATCCAACACTTTTAGTTTTTATAATTTAAACAGTCTATAGACTATAGTTCATGTTTCAAAAACAAAATCGTTTAAAGTAAATATAAAATCCGCTTTCTACTAGGCATAATGATCGCCGTCGAAAAAATCACTGAAACCCTGAAGACGCTATCGAAACCGGTGACCACGCCCGAGGAAATCTGCCAGGTTGCCACGATCTCCGCCAACGGCGACAAATCCGTGGGCAACTTGATCGCCGACGCGATGAAGAAGGTGGGCAGAGAGGGCGTGATCACGGTCAAGGACGGCAAAACCCTCACCGACGAGCTCGAAATCATCGAGGGCATGAAGTTCGATCGCGGTTACATATCGCCTTACTTCGTCAACACGACCAAGGGCGCCAAGGTCGAGTACCAGGACGCTCTGGTGCTGCTGAGCGAGAAGAAGATCTCGTCGGTGCAGAGCATCGTGCCCGCTCTCGAGCTGGCCAACTCTCAGCGCAAACCGTTGATCATCATCGCCGAGGACGTGGACGGCGAGGCGCTGACCACCTTGGTGGTGAACAGGCTGAGGATCGGGCTGCAGGTGTGCGCCGTCAAGGCGCCAGGCTTCGGCGACAACCGCAAGGCCACCCTCACCGACATGGCCATCTCCACCGGCGGCATCGTTTTCGGTGACGACGCCAACATCGTCAAGTTGGAGGACATCAAGCTGAGCGACTTGGGGCAAGTTGGAGAGATCGCCATCACCAAAGACGACACTTTGATGCTGAAAGGTAGGTGACACACTTTGTAATGTTTTTTTGCAGATGGGCAAGGGAAAAACGTTTTTCTGGATGTCTTCATCCACTTATCTGTTGTTTTAAAACAGATATATGTCTAGTAGGGTGTTTAAAATCGAATATTTTTTTTACTTCCAACACTGAAACATTGATTCTTAGGCTCCTCAAGAATATACTCACCAAATTTGAGCTCTTAATATTAATAGGAAGATCCAGTTTTCATTTTTTCTTTAGTCCCTTAAAAAAGACCATATTTCATTACACTAGTACACGAAAATCACTAAATTTTGTTGGAAGCGTTTTTAAAATATGAATTTTCAATTTTCAGAGGTGTTTTGACGTTTTTGAGTGTAGCTTACAATCTAATTGATCGATTTGAAAAACAAGCCCTTAAATTGAAGGTATTTGTGTCCTCTAAAACTTTCATTTACATACTTTTGATATCGGATAAGTATTTTTATGAGCATAGCATAGCACTAGCGATTTAAAACTTAAAAAATTCGTTTTTATGGCAAAAATTGAGGTCGAAAATTTACATATCGTGAATTTTTTTTTGTTAAACTCAATGTTGATAAAAATCCATGAAAAAATGACAAAGTTGTGAATATTTTAGTGGAAGACCAAAATTCAGCTTTTTGACGATTTTTAGTTTTTTTTCTTTTAAAACTAAAAATCCATTTTGTACACTGTTAGTGATTCTTTTAAATTTTTTTTTGTTTGGCTTTCGAAAAATCATATTTTCGGAATTTTAAATTTAATAATTTTGATTTTTTCCACTTTCGGACATTTTTTTATCATAAACCAAAAATGATTTTTTTTATTTAATCTTTTTATATTTAGCCCTTTTAATTATTACAATTGTTTAAGAATAATTATTATTAATTATTTTCAGATTAAAAATCAATGAATCAATCATTTTTTACTATACTGTGTGACCCATTTGTTTGCGACTCACCCCTGTAAAATCTTTATTTATTGTGCGATGTTAACCGGATTTCTTTTAAAGTGTAGATCTTGATAAACTGTATTTTTGGAGCAAATGACGCTTTATTAGTGCAAAATACAAGGCCTGCTCTGTCAGTTTTTAAGAGTAAATTTTTAAACAAAATCTAAGCACAGCATTGGATTCACCACCCCTCAAAACGACACTTTACTAAATTTTTTGGAAAAATTTTAAGTAGAAAAATGCACAATAATAACTACAAAAATTTATTCTGTCAAGTTATCCATGAAAAAAAACATTGAAATTAAATTAAACTTATAGTAATAGTTGTTACTATTAGTTTAATTGTATTTCAATGTTTTTTGCATGGATAACTGGACAAAATAAATTTTTGTACATTGTGCATTTTTCTACTTAAAATTTTTCAATAAAATTTAGTAAAGGGACGTTTTGAGGGGTGGTGCTTAGATTTTGTTTTAAAAAATCGCTAATATGAATTCTTAAAAATATACTCTTAAAAACTGACATAGTAGGCCTTATATTTTGTAAAAATATGGCCTTTTTTGCTTCACAAATATCAAGATCTACAGTATAAAACAAATCCGGTTAAAATCGCATAAAAATTTTACGGGGGTGAGTCGCAAACAAATAGGTCACACTGTATATTTATAGGCACTACTTTTTAATTTTATTTAAACAATTTTTATAGTTAAAAGGAAATTAAAAAAAGAACAAAATTATTAAAATTTAAAATTTCGAAAAAAATATTAATTTTTCAATAGCCACGATATAATATAGATAAAAAACTTGTATTCCCTTAAAGATTAAAAACAAAAAAAAATTAAAACAGTGGAGAAAATGGATTTTAGTTTTCGAAGAAAAAAATCATAGTGTGTTGATATGCCACAGCATCAAAAATATTTATTTCAAATAGCTTATTTTAAGACAAGAAAAGTGATTGGTCGTTCATATTTTCAAAAACAATTGATAAACCGTGCTAAAATTAAAATTGAATTTTTATTTTGAGTTAGGGAACCCATAGAAAAATTACCAAGGAATTTAGAAATGGCAAAGGTTTTTTTGTGTCGAATTCACGTGGAATTCCCCATATGTATCTTATTTAAATGTCCTTTAATGGTTTAAACACTTGGGCAATAAATAAATTATTATTATTATCTGTAAGGAATTTTGTAAAAAAAATAATATTCAAGGGAGTTATAACTTAGAAAGTTTTTATCTTTTATCGTTAATAATGCGACATCCTCTCACGTGTTAAATTACTAGGCAAGGGCAAGGAGGAGGACATCAACAGGCGCGCCAACCAGATCCGCGACCAAATCGAGGACACCACCTCCGAGTACGAGAAGGAGAAGTTGCAGGAACGTTTGGCGCGCTTGGCCAGCGGCGTTGCCGTCTTAAAGGTGGGCGGCAGCAGCGAGGTGGAGGTGAACGAGAAGAAGGACCGCGTCACCGACGCCCTGAACGCCACCAGGGCCGCCGTCGAGGAGGGAATCGTTCCCGGAGGCGGTACCGCCCTTTTGAGGTGCGCCGGCAGCTTGGACTCGATCAAACCCGACAACAACGACCAAGCTATCGGTAAGTTTAAAATGTTTATTAAAATTTGCATTTTTTTACTTTTACAGTCCCTGGCCAATTTATTTGACTCGCTCACAAATTTTTCTTAATAAAAAATGTATTTTTGAAGTAAAAAAGTGATTTTATGCGTTAAAAACTCTTTTAAGGGCAATAAAACAAATTTTTACGATGAAATTGAAATTTTATTAATAATGGTAAAAAAGAGTTCTAAAACTCATGTTTACAATAAAACTTTGATAACATTTATTTATTTTTCACCATCACTCTTTTAATTTCAATTTTATAGTAAAAATGTGTTTTATAGCCCTAATAAGAATTTATAGTCCGATTATATTTATAAAATTACTTTTGCGGCCCTAAAATGCATTTTTTGTGAGAAAATATCGGCTATTTTACAAATTTGTTAATTGTTTTTTAAAAATTTTGATTTATACTTTTTTTATTCTTATAAATACAATTTCTATATTTTTACATATCGTCACCTGAGAATTATAGTGTTCTATCTGCATTTTCTTTTTTTTATTCAGGTTAGTCTTGTTTTAAGTCTTAAAGATGATATTGATCTATCTATATATAATTGGGGTAGAAATTGTAAAGTTTAAGGCTTAAACTGTACAATTTCTACCCCAATTATATATAGATAGAACAATATGCATCTTTAATACTTAAAACAAGACTAACCTGAATAAAAAAAAGAAAATGCAGATAGAACACTATAATTCTCAGGTGACGATATGTCGAAAATTTTTCATCTATATTTTGGATAATTTTTTACAATCACTTTCTTATTTTCAATTTTTTTCGTAAAAGAGTGTTTTAATGTCCTAAAAAGCGTTTAAAAAGCGATTCTATTTATAAAATCACTGTGTGATCCAAAATTGCATTTTTGTGAGAAAATATCGACTATTTTACAAATTCCTAAAATTAAAGAAAATTTGAAGTTTATTGTTTTTTAGAAATGTCTATTTATACTATTTTAATTCTTCTAAATACAATTTCTATATTTTGGTATTTGTCAAAACTTTCTCATCTGTATTTTATAGTCCTAAAAAGCGTTTAAGATTCTATCTATAAAACCACTCTTGGTACAAAAATGCATTTTTGTGAGAAAATATTGACTAATTTACAAATTCCCAAAATTAAAGAAAATTTTAAGTTTATTGTTACATAAAAATGTCAATTTATACTTTATTAAAACTTTTCTATTGTGGTTTATGTGGAAAATTTATCATTGGTATTTTGTTTACCATTTTTTAATTTCAATTTTCTTGTATAAATATGTTTGATAGTCCTAAAAAGCGTGCGATTCTATTTATAAAATCACTTTTGTAGTCCAAAAATGCCTGTTTGTGAGAAAATAATGACTATTTTACAAATTCCCAAAATTAAAGAAAATTTTAAGTTTATTGTTACATAAAAATGTTGATTTGTACTTTTTCATCCTTATAAATAAATCCTCTATATTGTGGTTTATGTGGAAAATTTATCATTGGTATTTTGGGTAATTTTTTTCCATTTTTTAATTTCAATTTTTTTGTATAAATATGTTTGTTAGTCCTAAAAAGCGTTTATAATGCGATTCTATTTATAAAATCACTTTTGTAGTCGAAAAATGCCTGTTTGTGAGAAAATAATTACTATTTTACAAATTCGCAAAATTAAAGAAAATTTGAAGTGTATTGTTATATAAAAATGTCAATTTATACTTTATTCAAACTTTTCTATTGTGGTTTATGTGGAAAATTTATCATTGGTATTTTGGGTAATTTTTTACCATTTTTTAATTTCAATTTTTTTGTATAAATAGGTTTGATAATCCTAAAAACTTTTGTAGTCCGAAAATGCCTGTTTGTGAGAAAATATGAAGTTTATTGTTATATAAAAATGTCAATTTATACTTTATTAAAACTTTTCTATTGTGGTATATGTGGAAAATTTATCATCAGTATTGTGGGTAATTTTTTACAATCACTTTTAATTTCAATTTTATATTTATAAAAAGCGTTTTTTTATTTATAAAATCACTGTTGTGGTCCAAAAATGCATTTTGGGGGAAAATATCGACTATTTTACAAATTCCCAAAATTATAGAAAATTTATTGTCAAATATCTCTAATCTTGGTACTTTTTTTTATTCTTATAAAATAAATTTCCATAATGCTATTTTTTGCGCCAATTGTATGGGTTTTTCATAATCTCTTTAGGTATCGAAATTGTGAAGAAAGCCCTTAGAGTGCCTTGCATGACAATCGCCAAAAACGCGGGCGTAGATGGCGCCAGCGTAGTCGCCAAAGTGGAACAAAACACTGGCGATTATGGATATGATGCCCTCAAGAACGAATTCGTCCACATGTTTGAAAGAGGAATCATTGATCCAACCAAGGTAAGAAATAATCTAATATTTTTTAGTAAAGTTTGGAAACGTTTTATTCTTTGTTTTAAACTGTTTAAAACGTTTGTGCTAAACGTTAAAAAAAAAACTTTTAAATAAGCATAACATTTTTTTCAAATTCAATGATACATATATTTATTGTGGCACCATTGCTTTTTTCACGAAACTCTTTTTAATTTTAGTACCCAGATACGATAAGTAATATTAAGATATCGTTTTTTTGTATTTATGCTAGTATGGTGTCTTTAAGACACTAGATGGTGACACTGCCCGGTCAATTTTTTTTTTATAAAAAACCAAAAAAGCTTTTTTAATAATTTTGAAAGTTTTTTTCAAATTAAATATTAATTAATTAAATATTTTTTTACATAACTAAGCTCTTCAAATAAAACCATAAGTATAATCAGGGTTGGCAAAAACGTTTTTTTTTTTAGACAAACGTGATTTAAGTTTAAAAATAGTTTTTTTTGTTTAAAATAGTTTTTAAGTATGTTTTTATTGTAAAAATGTAATATTTTTAGTAAAGGTTGAACTTTGGAAACGTTTTATTCTTTGTTTTAAACATGCCAACCCTGCCCAGACACGTTTATATTTATTGTGACAACATTGATTTTTTCACGAAATTCTTTTTAATTTTAGTACCCAGTGGGTACTTTCCACATACGATAAGTTATATTAATATATCGTTTAAAAAAGTTCTAAATTTCTTGTTTAAAATGGTATTTGGTACAAGAACAGAATATTATTAAATGTTAATATTCCTCAGGTGGTAAGAACAGCTCTTGTGGACGCATCCGGAGTGGCCTCTCTGCTGACAACAGCCGAGGCTGTCATCACCGATATTCCCAAGGAGGAGCCAGCGATGCCGGCCGGCGGCATGGGTGGAATGGGCGGCATGGGCGGAATGGGCGGCATGATGTAAGACATCGCAAGTCAAAATTCCTCCAAATTCGCCAAAAGATAATTTTTTAAAGACAGTGTTCGGTTGATTCAGTAGGTCTCGGCGTGTGTCGTTGTAAATTTTTTTGACTGAAGCTGTCAAACTGACTTTGATTACTTGAACATTTGACAGCTATGTGCGTGTGCGTGTGTGCGTGGTAAATATATACATTCGTGTTAGTCGTGTTGTTATTTTTTTAACGCGAATCCTTGTATGAAAAATTGAGAGTTTTTATATTTGAAAAATGTATAAAACATGGCACAGCTGGCATTTCATTTCCATTTTTATCATGATTAATATCAACTATGCCATGAGTGATCTGATTTATGTCATTGCATTTATTTAGATTTTTGTTCTAAAAACATACAAACTGTATATTGTTATGAATATATTGTTAATTTTTTAACTATTGTTGTTTTATTTTATTTATTTACCAACAAAGATTATAAACATCTAAAAAATGAGTTTAGCAAATATTATAAACGCGAAATTGTTTCTTTCACGTAGCAACGGATCGACGTGATTTTGCGCTTATATGCAAAAAATCGCAACTGTAGAAATGTGTAAAACCACCTTTATTATAGAGATTAAATAGGTATAGTGGTATTAATATCTCATGGCGGGTGACCTTGAGAGACGCTGACAGACGCCATTCAATTTAATAAATAAATGGAAACTAAAAACATCCGCCACTTCCATAGACCTTTAAGTTAACTTAAATGTCTATGGATGCTTCCCAAATCTGTCATCTGTCAACTAATATAGTAAAGCGTTTTTTTCTTTATTTTATGAAATATATTGTAACATTAGATAATGACTGCAATTAAAGACCCTGCTGCAAAAAGGAGCTAACTCCATAAAAGTTATTTTTGAGTCATATTTGCATTAAACAATGCAGAATAGTCACAGTTGTAAGGGTGTAAAAGTAACTTTTGTAAAAGTTACCCCCTTTTTGCAGCAAGGTCTTCAAATGTTGAGCAATGATCTGTAAAATATATAATGGATTTCAGTAAAAAAAAAGAATAGAATCTGTATACAATCCGAATTTTGCTGTAAAAATGTACCTTAAGGTTTTTATTTCATATTTTTCTTGTGTATGGCAAAATATGTTGATTTACTGCTAATACAAGTATATATCATATTATGAATAAGTTCTAAAACTTCTAAATGTGCTTTATTTCAGACAAAAGGCTTACATTTTTTAAAAATATGCAACATTTTTCTTCTATAATTTTTTTTTATTCTTTCTTTCAAGAGAATTGGACACGTTTCAACTCGCGTTTCAAATATTGGAGAACGTTGTAGACGATCTGCCGCCCTTGGATGTGAATGACTTCTTTTTTGCCGTTATTCATTTCGTATAACAAATATAATAATAGAATTTCTAGCCTATAAATATGTATAAATATGTCAATAAATATCAGCTGATGCTAGCATTGCCAACCCTGGGGTAGTATGTTTTTAGGACGGCGAGTAATAGCGCGATTTGACGGATTTGTGACGTTTGCGCGCCCAAGGTCACCCGCCATGAGATATTAATACCACTATATTTGTTTTACTAGTAATGAAAAGCGACTTTTTCATGAGAGTGTATAAGTTGCTCACGAGGCCGCCAAGCCAACTTCAGCCTGTGACTAAAATGCCCAAAAGCCACTTGCTAACTAAAACGCCATAAATGGATTCAATATTATTATTATTAAATCCCTGGAATTCAATGAAAATGTTCACGAAACGTCAGCTTAATACTCAATTGGTTTTGATTAATTGTCCACTATCCCAAGTTATTCTTTTTTTAAATTTGATGTGATGCTAAAGAGCATAACATTATCAAATAAAAATTCAATTTAGTGTAAACCAAACCTCGGGAATGAAGTTGTAAAAAACTAAAAAACGAACCTAATCAAAACGTATTTATAGACCAGTGCAGAAGCCTTTAAAAATGGTAAAAAGAGGAAAAAAATAACAGTAGGATGAAACCCATTGGAAAAGGAGGGGAATATAATAAAAATTAAAGGAAAAATAAATTACGGGCGATCTGAGTTCGGGAAGTGGGAGGGGGGGGGGATTTTAAGGGTAAAAAATGGTTTATCTCGATTTCCGGCAAAACTACAAGTCCTATGGAAAAAAGGTAATAAAAAGATCTACAACTTTTGTATTTACAATTTTTTCACATAACCTCAAAATTTATGTGAAAAATTCAAAAAACCAAGCTTTTGGTTTTTTATTTTTATCTTTTTCAAAAAAAAAATTTTTTCCACGAAATTTGGTGAAAACTTACCTTTTTATGTCCCAAATACACTGTAATTTATTTGATTTGAAATATTTATTATTTCGCCTTATTTTGACTTAATATCAAAAAAGCACCCTAATTTTCAATGGAAAATTCTCGCGTCAAAATATCGATGAACTATCTACTTTCTGATGGTGTAAAAAAAAATATACATTACTATGGTAATTGTTCTCAGAAAATACAAAACATATTATAATGAATAACGTAATCAGAATGAAGTATCTAAATTCAATAGTATGATTTACATGTACTTTTATATTTTATGAGATTTTCTGACATAAATGTTATTAGAATTTAATAAATAAACTTTTTAACTAAAAAAATTGCAACAATCACATTTTTTTGATGAAATTGTACATAATGATTAAAATAAATTTTCAAATTCGAGTTTTTTTCGTTATTCATTATAATATTTTTTGCATTTTCTGAGAACATTTACCATAGTAATGTATATTTTTTTTACACCATCAGAAAGTAGAGATTTCAACGAACAAAAAGCACACCGACTTTTTGAAATATTTTGACGCGAGAATTTTCGATTGAAAATTAGGGTGCTTTTTTGATATTAAGTCAAAATAAGGCGAAATAATAAATATTTCAAATCAAATAAATTAAGTGTATTTGGGACATAAAAAGGTAAGTTTTCACCAAATTTCGTGGAAAAAAATTTTTTTTTTGAAAAAGATAAAAATAAAAAACCAAAAACTTGGTTTTTTGAATTTTTCACATAAATTTTGAGGTTATGTAAAAAAATTGTAATTACAAAAGTTGTAGATCCTTTTATTACCTACAACTTTGCCATTTAACTTTTTTCCATAGGACTTGTAGTTTTGCCGGAAATCGAGATAAACCATTTTTTACCCTTAAACCCCCCCCCTCCCACTTCCCGAAGTCAGATCGCCCGTAATTTATTTTTCCTTTCATTTTTATTATATTCTTCTCCTTTTCCAATGGGTTTCATCCTACTGTTATTTTTTTTGGTTTCAAAAATTATCGACCCTGGTCTATTAGTCAAACCTGTTAGGGTTAAGTTTGAGGCCAACTATAAATCCAGCTGATAGCTTTAACGAAAATGTTAAGAAGATTCGTCTTTGTTTGGTAAGTATTATTGAAAGGGCGTATTTTTTTTACGAAAAAAAACGATATCGGTTTGAAATTTTAAAAGCGTTTATAATCCACTTAAGTATATTTTTCAATAATATTATTATTGAAAGGGCGTATTTTTTTTCCCCAAAAAAAAACGATATCGGTTTGAAATTTTAAAAGCGTTTATAATCCACTTAAGTCTATTTTTCAATAATATTGAACAAAATGCCACTTCCGGTTTAACAGGAAGTGACATCAACTTTGTTATTTCAAAAAGAAAAATATATTTATATATTATTTAATTCTACATATAACTACCATACCATGTCCTATACCTAAAGTGGATAGTTTTCGAGTTATTAATGTTTTCGTTAAAATTTGAGAAATGCGCGTCAATCAAAAATAGGTTTGCGAATATGGGGGAGGAATTTTTGGAATATTAAAACATTGTTTAAAAGATTTCTTGTCAATTTAACAAGTACCTGAAAATTAGGCTAACTTCAAAAGTTAATATTTTTTTTCTTTTAAATGTAACATCCTGTATATTTTTACATAAATAAATTGTAAATTAAAAAACCTTGCGATTGAACTATTCTCTATACTTGAAGTTAATAATTTAAGATATATTTAACAATTGTAAAATTTTAAGTACCTATTATTTTGTATCAGCCTGTGACGGGTGAATTGACAGTATCAGTGGTTACCACGTAATTTGTCATTGTTCAAAATTTAATGGCGTCAATTTTTCAGGTTGTTATAGACAATTTGTTGACTAATTAAGTTTTTTGTAAACATTGACAAGCCAAATATTTTAAAAATTTAAAAGTTATACTTGTATAAAAAATTCAACAAAGCTGTATGATGTCAACTAGATAAAGCACTAGAGACAATAAAATATAAAAAAAATTGTCCACGTTTTGATTTATCAGAAGGGTTTTCTATACCTATACAGTTTAAAAATCATAAATTATTTATCCCTTTCAGGCTTAATAAAGCAAGTTATTAAAAAATTAAATTAGTATTGTTGTAAAATGGCGAATGTGCCGGGATTAATTTACATAAATTAAGAATGGCAATTATTAATTTTTTGTACGGTATTGAATAAATGTTAACACTGAATCCTAAAGATGTATGAATTGTGAAAATAATATTTTAATAGAAATTACAAATATTTTAATATAATTTATTTATTCCTGATCATTTTTAGTTTTGTGTAGTTTTTATTGCGTTGTTTGTAAAACCATTTAATGCCTGAAGCATTTAATAAAACATTTGCTAAATTAAAGCAGGGGAATAAATAATACTCAATTCAATTTTAAATTAATAATAAACCTTTGAAAAATAAAAAAGTATATTTTAAATAGCATTCTTCTTTACAATAAGTACCTACGTGGTTTAAAAATATTTCACAGGACTTAAGTTTTAAAAATTATTATTGCACAACAATTTTAAGTTTTTATAAAGTTTAAAAATCATTCTACATTTGCCACGCCGAATGCAGACACAAAAACATTTACAATTGTTATTAAAAATATTCCCATTACAGTGAAATTGTTGATTCTATTTGCCACACAAATTTCTATTTGGTTCTTCACGTTGTATCTAGAGTTCCAGATTAGACCTATGCCTACAGCCACCTAAAAATAAATAATAAATGTTGTCTGCAGATTCTAGCGTGCTAAATAAAAAATGAATGTGTTGTGTTGTTTTTTAATAATAATTATTTTATTGTGATTTTTTGCAACTACCTGTAAAAAAAGGCTGATACTAATCAAAACAATACTGGGGTAAAAATATGGATGCCTGTTGTAGCTCTCCAAAACATATCTCAGCTGATTGGCGTTAGCGGAAAAAAGGGCCAAGTCCATCATCCCTTGTGCCAAAGTTTTTTTGTGCTGATAAACATTCACGTCTGGAATGGTTTCCAAATCCGGAATGCTCCCTTCAACGTCATGTCCGTAACCAGGGGCGTACGGAAACAGGGGGTAATGGGGTTTTTCTGGGTGAGGTATATGACCATCGATGTCATCTAAATCAGGTTTTGGAGAGGCAGGGTCAACGTCCGTATCTTCAGTGGCAAAAAATCCGTCATCAACGCCTGGATATGGCTTTGTTACAGTTTCTCTATCATCTAATTCTTCTCTATTTTCTTTTTCTTCTTCGTCCAAATTCACGGATTCTATAGTAGCCAAGGGCGGTGTTTTATTAATGTTTAACAACGGCAACGTTTCGTTACTGTTTGATCTGTGTTTGTTGCTATTTTGTGCCGCTTGTACACTTGTCACTGCACTTGATGATAACATTATTATATTTGCACTAAACTACATAAAAACTAAACACAACGTAAATAAATAATCACTACAGTGTAAATATTAGCGTACAGAAGCCATACATGTCTTTTAAACGAGAAGAACTTGCACAACTTGCCGCTATAGTAGAGAGTATACATGATAATTATCTTTTTCAAGGTCTGATGACGGGTACTGTTGAAAATTTATTTTTAAATATTTTGAGAAACACCTGGTTATTTTTAGCTTGGCGCCAAATTTATTAATTTTAAGAAATCACTTTAGTCACTAAAGTTTAGTGGGCATTAAGAATGTTTTTTTTTTAAGTTTCACTTCAATTTTAACACGTGTTGATTAAAACCATCGGGTCAATTGAGGTCATATTTTTATTTATTTAATATTTAAATATTATTATTTACTTATTTTAAACGTTGCTATTATTATAATAATATATATATGCCAATAGAAAATTCTATGGTAGTAGTTTTAACATAATTTATTTAGATAGATAACAATTTTCCATTGTAACGACATTTTAAAGTAACAAAATTGTTAATAAAGTAGAAATTTGCCAAGTGAGTCTTGCGATTTTTGATGTTAAAAGTAAAGTTAAAACCAAATATTAAAAAATAACTGTCTTGCAAAATTAAACAAAAAATTGCTACTTTTACAAGAATTTTATATTCAAACCAGTATAAAATTGTCGCTAACAATTATTTTTGATCGTTTTATTCAATAAAAATAAACAAAACTACCTGTCTATTTTGGTATTATTTTTTTGGATTTCAGTAATCAGCTTTCTTCTTTTTCTAGACCCATCATTATTAGAGCATCAAATATTTTCAAGGGAAATATTAAGAAATGTGGTATTTTAAAATAAAATAAATTATAAATTTTTGTACTTTGCTTTATTTTATTAATAATTCAATACTTAATAACAGATTACAAACTACCACTAAAAACTAAAAACACTCTAAAACTAATCACTCAAAAAAACATTTAAATAAAAATAATTTCCCCACACGGAACAATTACATCCAATGGATATCCAATGGATTTCTTTTATGGATATCCAGGATATACATAGGATATCCGGGATATCCAATGGATAACCATTGGATATATAAATGTCCGACCCTCCTGGACATAGTGTGGATATCCAATGGATACCCAGTGGATATAGTATTGTATGCAATAAGGTTGTAATCTGTATTCAATATGGAGATTGTATGGATATCCAATGGATAACCATTGGATATATAAATGTCCGACCCTCCTGGACATAGTGTGGATATCCAATGGATACCCAGTGGATATAGTTATTGTATGCAATATGGTTGTCATCTGTATTGGATATGGTGAATCAATGGATATTTACTTTTCAATAAATAACATTGGGTTTTAAAATAAATAAAATTGCCAAGGTTTTACTACTACGCCAGTAGTTAGGCAACCAAAATGACAAATATTACACAAGCCGACACATCTCTCCACCGTGCCTGGCCCGAAACGCATCTCTCGGGTTGACATGGCACAATGACTAATGTAGTACCATGCCCACCAACACTGACAGACAGACTGTTTCAACCTGTTGAGTCTCATCAATGTCAGGCAGTTGGTGCCGAGAGACACGCTTCAAGCCAAGCAACCGCCCACCTATATACTAGTTGGACGACCTGGACAGCGGCGAGATGCAGCGGCAAGGTAATATGGTGACATTTATCTTCTGTTTTCGCCGGCAGTGTTGTCAGACGTTTAAATAATTTCAGAAAGCTCATCAAAATGGCGGTTATATTATTAAAGCTTTAATACTTAATTAATTAGTATACCTAGTATACCTATTTGACATAAATGTGGTGAATAATTATTTTAAATTTATTTAATTTATTTATTAAAACTTAATAAAGTACGGAAATATATTTCGTTTAGTTATTTTGCTTATAACCGGCAACACTGAAGATTCTCAAATTCAGCGCGTGCGTAGTACATATATGAAATACAATAATAAACAAAAAGGACTTTTTTAAGTAATTTTTTATTGTATTGCAGACTGTCATAGTCATATTATTAACAGAAATAATATTATTAATATATAAATATTATTATCTGGGTAAAGTGAACATTTCAAAATTAAAAATTTCGTAGCTCTTGGCAAAAAATCAATTTAACGTAAAGTCGTTTTTTTTTACATATGCTGGTTTAAACCATCACAAAATCCCGCATGCATACATACAAGTATATATACAAGATATCCATATCAGTTATCCACCGGATATCCAGTGGATATCCAGTGGATATACATTAGATGTACAGTGGATATACTTTGGACATACATTAGTTATCCATTGGATATATATTAGAGATACTTTGTTGAAATTGGGTTAATAACGATTTAAATCATATTTATTAATCATTACATAAATTTATCCTATAAGGGGCTATTTTAAAAAAGAAAAAAATATTTTTAATGTTTTTGTTTTTTTTGAACATCCAGTATGGATATCCATTGGATATCCAATGGATATCGTAAAAGGCATGGATGTTATATGGACATTGGGATAGCCATTGGATATCCATTGGATAGCGTGTTCTGTGTGGGTCCAACAAAAACTTAAATGCGTTTAATTGAGTGCTATTTCTGTTTTAGAAGTGCAATGGACGGATGTAGGGACAAATTAAGTTAAAAAAAACTTAATTAATTATGAACTAAAACTATTTACAAACCTAAAACTAAAACTTAAGTCCTACCTACTAAAAATACAAGATAATTTAAACAATATTTATTTAATCTACATATAACACAGTAAATCACAGGTTTTTTTTGTATATTTTATTATTTTTTAATACTTCTTTTATTACATTGTTTAAACTATCCTCTAATTTGTTTATAAATTAAATTAAATAATGGAATGATTCGTATGGACGAATTCAATATTAAGTATAATATATATAGTATAAATAAAATACTATAACAAACTATCCTATATCTACTATGTTCAATAAGTAACTATAGTACATTATTGCACAAACAATATTTTGTACATAATTCCATATATGTTAGCTGCTGCGAAGGGCCCTAAAATACTTGTTTACGTACTAAAAAACTAACCTACAATTATTGAGCTAAAATTTAAAAAAAAATCGTATTTTATATATTTTTAAAAAATGTATTAAAAAACGAAATTTTAAATCAATTCATTAATTAAATTAATAAATAAGTGATGTTAACGTAACTACAAGTAAAAATATTAAAAGCTAGGAGTTTCAAAATTAAAATAAAATTATATTAAGTACGAGACTTAAAGCAAAATTTCAAAAAAGTTAACAAATAACATTTATCACATACCAGTTAATATAATAGATTAACAATTTAAATAATAATAATGTAATATAATACATACAAAAGTGTGGAGTCAAGATTTATTAAATTTTTCATATTTTTGACAGTAAAATGACAAAAATATTTAAAAACTTAACAAAATCCGAATTTTGGAGAGCACAATTTTAATCAACAAAATAGACCGATTTGTTTTTATTTTTTATTGGTTTCTAAAAAATACATAAATAAGTTTTTTTATATAGAAAACAATCTGAATATCCAAAAAATATACTGGGTGTTTTATAGAAAAAAATAATGTTATGGATTTTTTGTTTTAAATTACCGATGCTATTTTTGTTTTGTTTTTATTTTTGTAAAATAAATTAAAAAATTAACTAATTAATTAATTGTTTAAACCATGCAATTTGTATTCTTTTTTATATCTGTTTAAATTAATATTTTACAGTGGTGGCCAAATGTATAAATTTTTTTAATAAAATCAGTTGCCTTCAAAAAATTATTAATTTTTTTACAAATTTATTTGCATGTTAAATTTTTAAAAAAATTTACTCTATTAATTTTTTTGCATTAAATCGGTGGCTTTTAGAAAACAAATTAGTCGAAGCTCTAGGACAAAAAATTTAAATCGTATTTTCTTTAATTTTTTAATTCTTCTAATTAAGAAAGTTGTTTATTTTAAAATATAAATGATTATTTTTAATTAAAATTATTAATTTTGTGATAAGCTTTCTTATTTTAAGATATTTAAAAAAATTGCATTATTATTAAACCTGTAAATATATCTTTTTATTCCACTTTTGGCCATCATTGCATATGCAACATTTTTTCAAACGTTAAAATTACAAAAACATAGAACAAAAAAAAAATTGTTCATGTTATGGATCAAAACTATAAAAGTAAGAAAAGATAAAATAAATTATATAACTTCTCATTTAACGAAAAACATTTTCATAAAAACTGGTTTATAAAATGAGATTTCCATAAAGAAATTGAAATGTACAGGGTAAATCAATTTTATGTTTTCTTATTTTCTGAACAACCAGTACACTTAATAAAACATATTTCTAGGTTTCTCATTTTTTAAATAATTTATGAAAAATGCATTTTTTTCGTTAACCCAGATACGGCCGAAACTATTTTTTTTTGAAAATATTATTTTTTTGTCATAAGTTAGTTTATGGATACATTTCTGAAGAAGTTTTACTAAAAATTTTTTTTAGATTTCTCAACAGTTTTTGTAGTAGTCACCGTCCTTTATAAAGGACAGTGGCATAATACAAGGACTTAATGTGAAATAATAATAACGTTTTATAGATATATAAATTTTATTTTATTTTAGTAACCATATAAATAAACTAATTTGTATGATATTCCAAAAAACAGTTCGAACCATGTTTTCCAAAATATGGGATCATTGATTCGTCGATGCTATGATTTTCTTGTAATGGGGCATGTTCTATGAATTTCGCATTTAGATGTATCAAAAAGGGTCTGATTTTTGAAAATTTGTCATTCATTACCAAGCCACTGTTGTCATTACAATCCAAACTTTGCATGATGTAGTTGAAACGGTTTCTTGAAATGGCTTCTGTTATAATCACATGATTGGCATCGGAAGAGCTCTCCCAATACAAGGATCGTCTTGAAACACTGGTGCAACCACTATAAATAAGCACCCCAAAAAAACATTTTATTTCGTCCACAGTTATATCAGCCTGTCTGTTGTGTTGGATCGCATATAGGTTGGTATAGTCTGTAATCATTTGCCATAAATATTTGTCAAAAAAAAGATAAAAGATCTCTAAAGGTGTTCGTTGATTTTTCGCCCCAAGCTCTTTTTGCCAGTCTGGTAGTTTACGCACAATGTCTTCTTGAATCCAATCATTCTTTTTTTTTTTTGTATTTACAAAACTGTGCTACCGGAACATTATTATCACTATCACTATCTGACGGTAAAATGTTAATTTGGCTGTCGGTTCTAAACGTAACCTCAGCTTGAGAATTCAAAACGGATCCCGGTAAATTATCCATGACGACATTTTCATCATCACCAGAGTCTTCATAAGTGACATAGTCATTGGCGTTGATTGGCGGAAAAAGTACAACTGCTTCTGGAAATCTATTATCATCATCAATATTTTTTCCCATAACTGAAAAACAGTACATTATACCACTGACCTTTTAAAAGGACACACACTTTTATAAGCTTATTTCAAAACCCACGACCAGTATAACCTTTTTTTTATATTTATATCCTAAAGTTAGGCTTTCACTAATTAGTTTTTACTTGGCTAGTCAATTCAATTTTATGAAATAATGATTGATATCTTACCTTAGATTACTCATAGCCTCACAAAATAAAACACTGGAAATGTAAACACCACTAATTCTGAACGAAAACAAATAAACGGCTACTACACGTGCTGCAAACATGTGCTAAATATTTGACAAACCAGAATTCGTGGCGCCATCTAAACCTTAGACGTAAAAGCAGTAAATAATTACAGGTTTTTGAAGCGACCTTTTTAAAGGACGGTGGCCGTATCTGGGTTAACGTAAATTTTTTTTAAAAGGTCTATTATGTGGGCAAAATTCGATTTCCTTACTTGTCACACCCACATTTTTTTATGTAACATTCGTATCATGCCAATAAAAAACCAAAAACCCAAATCCAACAATTTCATAACAATTTCAAAAAACAACTCAACAAATTGTAAAAACTGTACACTTACACATGTCCAGGCTCAAAATAGGTACCTAACCTAAAAAATAGGATAGATAATAAATGTTTTTTCCTGCTGATTTTCCTAAAAAGACTTCCACTCTTATTAACTCTTTAATCGCTATTACTATATTGCAGATCACATCACGTTACTATTGCAAAAATGAGCAATTTAATTATTTACTATTGTTTTTCAAGGCCTCCCTAAAATCTCGGGTTCGACCTGTTGGTCATAGCGGGATTATCGTAGGCGTAATCTAGAGCGCTGTCTTCGGCAGGTCTCCTGCTAATCGAGGTCGTTATGGTTACTGGACTGTGCTCAGAATGGGTGTCGGAAATCGGCATGTCCAGTCTTAGGTCGGGTTTTTTCAGGTCGTTTTTGTGGGGTGTGCTCGATGGTTTTGTGGGGGTTGGTGGCTGTTTTTTCTAAAAGAAGAAAAATACAAACTTACGTAATTTTTTTTATTATTTTTTTAAACGTTTAGTTTTTATAAATCAGGTAATCAAAATTAATTTTAAAATTTCTTTGTGAAAACATACAATTTTGATTATATATTTACTTATTTTTAATTAAATTATTATATTTGCAAAAATGGCGAATGCGCCGGGATTAATTTTTGCAAATTCTACTAGTAGTGTTATTGAATAAAAAAATTAATTTTTAAGGAATTAAACGGTCAACCACGATACCTAATTTTGCCAAATAAAAACCTTGTTAAACCGCTTTTGTTTAGAACTATTTATAAAAATTTGACATTAGTAATATAATACACTCACGTGCAAAATAATCGATCCACACAAATTTTCGATGAATTTCAATCGCAAATAACTTTTTTATTTGATGTCGGATTTAAACGAATATTAAAGAATATTGTAGATAAATTAATGGACAATCGCTCACATTTTAAAAAAATACTAAAAAATTGACGTACGTTTATAATATACAGGTTTAAACAAAAAGATGGTTTTTACCATAAGTTTAAGACACTCTGTAGAGTGGCAAAACCGTATATTGTTCTAAATTAAGTTTTATTTATTAAGTCACATATTCGTAACAGTTTTGTTTTTGGTTCACCTTGATATATTTATTTTCGTGGAAAATATGGATTTAAAAAAACATTGCAATTTCCAATATTTTTTCTGTATGAAGAACTAAGGTTGTTATGGTCCATCCATAGGCTATGGAGAATGACAGTGACAGTTTTGTTGAATCATCCCATACTTGGACATGTCATACACGGCTTTCAAAAGCTATCAAATTGTTTTTGGCAAATTAATGTTTAAATTTTGAGGTGTCTTCTTACTTTAAAAAATGGATATGTCTCCGACTGATGTTGCCAGAGCAATTAATTTAATCCAGGATGGACGGTCGCAGTACTACGTGGCAAGTGTTTTAAACGTCACAAGAAGTAAAGTACAAAGGGCAACATCAGTCGGAGACATTTTTAAAAGTAAGAAGACACCTCAAAATTAACACATTAATTTACAAAAAACAATTTGATAGATTTTGAAAGCTGTATATGACATGTCCAAGTATGGGATGATTCAACAAAACTGTCACTGTCATCCTCCATAGGCTATGGATGGACCATAGCAACCTTAGTTCTTTATACAGGAAAAATATTGGAAATTGCAATATTTTTTTTTTAATCCATATGTTCCACAAAAATAAATATATCAAGGTGAATCAAAAACAAAACTGTTAAAAATAGATGTGACTTGATAATTAAAACTTAATTTAGAACAATATACGGTTTTGCCACTCTACAGAGTGTTAAACTTATGGTAAAAACATGTATATATAACTGTATATTATAAACCTACGTCTATTTTTTAGTAGATTTTAAAATGTGAGCGATTCGTCATTAATTTATCTACAATATTCTTTAATATTTGTTTAAATCCGAAATCAAATAAAAAAGTTATTTGCGATTGAAATTCATCGAAAATTTGTGTGGATCGATTATTTTGCCTGTGAGTGTATATACTTTTTTGGACGTGTTTAACATTGTAAACATTGCAATCTTTCTGAACTAATAAATCTATTATATTCTAAAACTATTCTATTAAAAAAGAGAGAAAACAATTGTATTTAAAATAAATAATTGTAAACGAGTGTACGATTAAAACCAACATTGTGGAGAAATCTGCGGAAAAATTATAAAAAGTAATATTTAAATTGAAGCTTGTAAATGCCATTTTATAAATAGGTATTACCTTTTTAAACATGGATAGTTTAAAATTTGCCAAAGTGATGTTCTTCTTTTTCGTCCATCGGTATACTTGGAATATAAAAACGGCAGCCAAAAGTATCAATATGAAGCAGATCAATGTCAAACAAACTGAAACCATTCTTGATAAACGCTCGATGGTATCTATAATTTAAAAAAAAAACGATAAAATATTTTTGTTGCCAATCAAATAAAAATTGTAACTCACCATCGTCTCTTCTGAGGTAGCGAATGTCGTGCAAGTAATCTAAAAATATTAAAATATATATTATACATATTTATATTTTATATCATGTTTTATTTAATTATAATTATGATTATTAAAAGCCGTAACTGCGCAAAAATCGATTATATTACAATTTTTTACAATCTATTTTCGAAAAATTTTGTTGTTATAATTTCCTTAATTTTGATATTTTAACACAATTTTGTGTATCGGGGACTTTATTGCTGTTCTCTATTAGTGCCGCATCATTATTTTCCAACTGTATTTTTTAAAGTTCTTCGCTAAGCGTTTAGAGCGTCTTATCTGATCCTCTTGACAATAGACTGTTTCTATGTATACCAGGCATATGAAGTTAATAATACGAAAAAGAAGTGTTGTGGTATTATTGAAATATATTAAAATATAAATGATCTCATGTAATAATTACCGAAGGTAAACATAATAAATAAACAGATAGGAGTGTATTATAAAATTGTACATTTTGCGGTACTATAGGCCCCTTTACTAGTTATACCAACTATTCTATGGGAGAAAACCTATTTTTTATAAATATTAATATTTATTTGCCTTTTATGGAACACAAAAAAAGTTTTAAATAGGTATTGTGGTCAGATTAAATAATAACAATATTTTTCTTATTATCGTGAACCTGCGTATAAATATTTATGTTAAGTGTTTTACACGTTCCAATTGTTTTGTAATTTAATATTTAAATACCCAGCACACAAATACAAACGTCGTTCATGTTCTCTAATTTAGATAAAATTAGGTATGTAGTCTTATCAAACAATGGTAAGTATAATATTTTTTTGTCATACATTATTTTTATCCAAAAAAATATGCCAAGTTGTAATTTTTTACTTGGATATCATATAAATTATTTGTTTGTAGTTTAAAAACAATTACAAAAAATATTTTACCCAATGTCGTGTTACATAATAAAAACTTAATAACTCGCCTATTAATAGACATAGAAATTTAACGCTCCACAAAAAAGATCTTATACTAAAATTTGGAAAAATACAAAATTATTTCGATAAAGCATTACAAATTTTGGTTAGAGTATCTTTCGGTATTTAAACGGTTGTTTGTCCATTTTCAAGGAATAATAGGTGTTGCTTTATACAGATATTTAAATTAATTAGTGTTGCCGTTTGCGGGTATTTTACCCGAAAATATGCTTGCAACTACTTGCTACTTGCTAAATAATATTGTATATTTACTAAATTAACATAATTATTTTATTTTACATTGTTACCATTATTATTGATTAATTCAAAATTCAAATAAAATTTCAAAATAGAGTGAATGTGCTAGAAAATTTATAAAAATAACTATTTTTTACTCTTTCGGGTAAAATCGGGTATTTTATAATGTTTGGTCGGGAACTTTTTTAAAATTCATCCGGCAACATTGTTAATTATAATTAATATAGTAATTAAGTAATAAATAATATTTTATCACAATATTTTTCAGAGAAAAAGTATACTATAGTATGTAAAGTTTTCTAGACACTCATTTTATTAAATAAACGCTCGCAAGCTTCCCTCGTGCCTAATTAAAATTCGTGACTAATGGCGTTAACATAATATACTATTGACTAATCCCATATTTAAAACACAATATTGTAAATCTGTACCCCATAGTCAAACTGTATTGTCCACTTTATTTAATCACATCACACATTTGTTCGCTATTTTTAATGCACAACAGTTACTGGCTTACTTAGTTTTTTGATGTATCAAAAACTATGTATCAAGTTTGATAAACGCCATTTTAGTCACGAATTTAATTCAGGCACGAGCAAGTTTTCGAGCGAGTCCTTAATTTAATGGGTGCCTAGAAAAGTTTATAAACGAGTTGCATATTATACTTTTTTACGATAAATTTATTATTATATATTATATTTTAATAAATTTAAATTAAATATTTGCATAAAGCGACATCTATACGAAAATAAAGTAACCATCCCAATAAACATTTTTGACATAAATTTTATCATTACCAATGCTCGTTATTTCTTTAATTAAACTTAACAATTATTGATACTTTCAAATATTAAAATAATTAAGAAAATATTTTATTTCTTTATTACTATAATTGCAAAATAATATCACAAAGAATTAAAAATTCACGGGAAATGTTAAAGGTACAAAAAGTGACAGTTGTACTTATTAGAATTTCTAACTTGGGAATCTACCGGCGTTAAAATGTTAAATTTTTCTGTGTAAATAAAAATTTATCACTTGAAAATAGACTAACAATCGATAAAGAAGCAGTTTTTCACAGAAAAAGAGAAGAGAATGTTTTATGTACGCAAAAATCACATTTGGTATTATTTTACAAGAAAAGCACTATATTTTAACGATTGTACAACAACTGAGAACTGTCAACTAACTTAAAACTAACTTCGACCCGTAACTAAAAATCTGTTGCTAACTTCAGCCCGTTACTAAAGCGCTGTGGATAATAAATTAACCATCCTTCAGAATTTTAATTTTACTCTAAATTTTTAGTTGGATCATAATCAAATAAAGTATATAAATGGCAACACGGCGAATAGTTAGTTGATTAAATTTTGTTTTTATATGAAGAAATGCTTGTGGCATCTTAAGAATAAGCGGTACTATTATTATGTAAAATGGCGGATGCGCCGAGTAATATGTGTGTGAAATAAACAAACCAGTTTCTGAAAATACACAAATACCTTTTTTTGGTGTTTTTAATAGTTATTGTTTTGAGCTATAAATAAATAATAATAAGTATGATTAATAAAATGTTAAAAACACTAATCGAATACTAATTATAATACCTGTTAAAATTTTTATTTAATGACGTAGACGTTGGAGTTAAATATTAAAAATGTAAACAATTTAAATAAAATGTTATCAGCGCAAGGTGAATTTTCAATACCGTACCTTGACAGACTTTTTTGCACAGACTTTGATCGTAATTGTGGTCGGATTTGTCGCATATCTTCGTGCACTTTTGACAGGTTCCGTCAAATTGAGAACAATATTCCAGAATGTTGCAGGTTCTCTCGCCACACGCCACCGAATTCACGTTTAGATCACATTTCACCCCCGCAAAGAGCAACGCAAAAAATCCAAAGCACACCAAGGAAATCATCTTCACTGCTGCACTTATTCACATCTTAGAAAAAATCCTCGATTTTGGACATTCGGGCGGCAACAGGTGTCGACACAAGGGAGTTTGACTTTACTATAGGTAATGTAGCTACGTTTCTACCTGAGTGAGTCACAGCGACGCGCGCGATTTTGGCACCAATGCCCGGGCGCTTTAAGGTCGACGCGCACCTGGAGAATGCCGTTCGACAGGTAGGTTCGTTTCCAATTGGGGAGGGGAAGTCAAAGCCTTCTAAATTACCCATATGCAGGTAGATTTAACACTGCCACCGACAATGGGATCTATTGGAAAATTGCGCTATTGTGTTATTAAATCGAATTGAAAAAGGTGAAAATGCACCCAGGGGCCTTTGTTGGGGTACCTATTCGAATTATTTATTTATTTGCATGGTTTTCGGAAAGATAACATTTTTATTATGTAGGTAAAGCGTGAGTCATCGCAAAAATAGAGCAAGTTTAAACCTGTTGTTTCCTGTATTTAATATCAAAATTTATATGTATGTATGTATATATTTTTAATTTAATATATTAACATATTAAAATTTAATTATTTAAATTCAAGGAAACTTCATAACTTTTACTGTAAATTGTATAGATGGAGCTACAGTTTATATTTAAACAATAATTCAGTAATTATTATTAAAAAATAAATAAAATTTGTAAAAATCAACCAAGTTTTTTATCCTGGGACATAATATTTAGAGGTCGCCCATAATTAAACGTATACAGGATGTCCCGAAAATAGTGTGCAATACGCTACAAGCTGTTTTTGGAGCCCCTAAGGAAGCATGAGACCTCTTGTATTTTATAATAATCTTTATTTATTGTGCGATAAACTGTATTTTTTTAGCAATAATAAATATTTACAAACATTTATTTTGTCAAATTATCCATAAAAATATAGTAACATGGTATAAATATCCTTTTGCTTAATTTTAACAAATAAAAATAAATATTGGACGAGTGCGACAAAAGGTCTTATGAAATGAGCTCTTTATGCTATTTTATCTATTTTGCAAAAAGTAATTTTATACCTTAAATTTAATTTGGTCGAATTTTACTTTAGATAGTTGGTATCACAGCCATTGATTTGACAGTTAATGTCAAAATCAATTCGCCATGCCTTCCTTAATTTACTTATTTACATTAAGCGGCTGTTAATGTTAAAGAAGAAAAAAAAAGTATAGCCAACCTATAAAATCATAATTTTGGGTGAGAGAAGTATCTCATTACAGCACCGAAAGCGGTGTTATAATGAAGTCATTATGAACGCAAAATAGATAAAGTTAATTTTCGGTGTACCTGTTAACCAAGGAATATTTTATACAGGGTGTCTGTTATTTACGTTGACTTTTTTGTCGCTTTAAATACCAATAACTTTCTTATTTCAAACGAAACAACCATACAATTTTTACATCCATCCATCCATCTTTTAAAATTTTTGAAAAAAATTTATTATTCCAAAAACTGTAAAAAATAAAAAAAATAACTTTAGTATTTATAGAATTCTACGTAGAATTTAAAAATGCAATAATATGTACATATATGGTTCCATTTGAAAAACCAAAGTTAATATTACGTCCGGTTTAACCGGTGATAACGCATTGAAAATAATTTTAAAAAAGTAGTTTATATTGCCTTATAATTAATATACAATTTTCAATTTTGCTTATATTAATTTTTAAAAATTTACTCTTAAAAACTGACATAGTAGGCCTTGTATTTTGTAAAAATATGACATTTTTTGCTTAAAAAAATCAGGTTATTAAGATCTACACTTTAAAATAAATTCGGTTAAAATCACACAACAAATAAAGATTTTACAGGGGAGTCGCAAACAAATGGGTCACAATGTTTATTAAATTATTTTTTTTTTAAATTCGATATTTTATTTTTATTCCAAAATGGTCCATTTTATATATGTTCAACAAAAGTACGTTTTTTAAGTAGTTTTTATATTCTGTAGCAAACTTGCAAAAAAACTGCATATAAAAAAATTTGGGGCTAAAAATACCCTGGTGACTACAATTTAAAAATTTCATAATTCATCATAAAAAGTTAGGTTAGCATACACTGACGTATGTTTATAAGATGATTTCTTGCTATTATTATAATAATAATAATAATAATAGATAATTATCTTAAGAAACCACGTGTAGAGGATTGCACACCATTTTTGGGAAATTGATCATTTTTCTTCTTTTAAACTGACCAGTTAAAAGTTTCAACACAAAGACATGTGAATTTTCAAATCTTGAAACATTCACTCAATTTATTGCACAAATCACAAAATACCTTCCTAAAAGCTTTCCTGGGTCGAAAAGTCATCTATGTTTCATACTATCTCATTGAGCGAAACGCACACCACAAGCAAAAAAACGAACTACAAAATTAAAAATATGAAGTACTATTGTATTCTATTAGTAAAATCAGTTCATTCTTTGGAAAAAATTATAAACTTTTTGACAAAATATAGTCATATTATTTTTGAATACTTTTTTTAAAAGGAAGAAACATAGGTAATGGTTAATCCTTGTATGAACAATCTTTATGTCAAATATAAAAAGTATCTGCTAACACCTTCCAAACACGCAAACACATTTTTGAATGATGATCAACAATACAGTATAATGTTAAAAATTTGTTTCCATCCAGTACGAAAAAAACAAATTTTTAAGTAAATATGGAATTATCGTAAGTAATATCATAAGGGCATTTAATTTTTCCGAAAAGAATCGAAAAAACACGTTGCTAAGTAATATTTTAACAAAAAGCATGAGTGCTGGTGGCAACAAAAATCCGAGTCGAAGAGGAGGATTTTTGCACCTGCACGAATGCTTTTTGTTAAAAAATATTACTTAGCATTGTGTTTTTTCGATTTTTTTCACAGGAAAAATTAGATGCCCGAATGGTATTTGACAAGACTATTTCATGAGTAACAGTTAACAATTAAAATATAAATTGCAATTTTTGGTGACAACAGCTGTCAAGTTTTGCCGCGGGTAATCTCGAATAAACTGCTGACAGGTGCTGTCACACAGTTTTTTCACCTAGAAACCATTTGTAATTCAAAATTGCGCGTTTGTGATTGGTGGAAATTAAGACGAGGGAAATAGTCGTAAGTAATATCATAAGGGCATTTAATTTTTCCGAAAAGAATCGAAAAAACACGTTGCTAAGTAATATTTTAACAAAAAGCATGAGTGCTGGTGGCAACAAAAATCCGAGTCGAAGAGGAGGATTTTTGCACCTGCACGAATGCATTTTGCTAAAAAATATTACTTAGCATTGTGTTTTTTCGATTTTTTTCACATGAAAAATTAGATGCCCGAATGGTATTTGACAAGACTATTTCATGAGTAACAGTTAACAATTAAAATATAAATTGCAATTTTTGGTGACAACAGCTGTCAAGTTTTGCCGCGGGTTAACTCGAATAAACTGCTGACAGGTGCTGTCACACAGTTTTTTCACCTAGAAACCATTTGTAATTCAAAATTGCGCGTTTGTGATTGGTAGAAATTAAGACGAGGGAAATAGTCACCTAGAAACCATTTGTAATTCAAAATTGCGCGTTTGTGATTGGTGGAAATTAAGACGAGGGAAATAGTCAAGATAATTAACTGATTTTAGAATTAAAAGTGGCTATAATTTTTGTGCATATCTATTTTTTACACTATTTATTTTAAACCAAATACGGGGTGAACCCTGCATATTTAAAGGTCTCGATACGCCCCTGATAAGAATATTTTCATACTTATTGTTTTAACATTGACATTTTAAATAAAATTAAAATTCACACATGGTTTTATCTTATTTTACATTTTTATTTGTTCAGTGCATAACAAATTTAATGGTGTTATGTAATAGGGAACCAACCGTCAAAATGAAAAAAGTGAGATAGATGCATTAATGTAGGACGAATATTTGTAAGCGATAAAAATGCAGGAATATACTAATAAAATTAAAAATAATAACCACTTTTTTGATCAAATAATAGCTACCTACTTTTTTGATCAAATCAATATTTAAGAATCTAAAATCCCAATGGCAAACGCAAAATTTAAAAACATATTGGATAGGGATTTTTAACCCTTTTAAGCCACTTGATTACCAACTATTAAAAAATTTATAAAAAAACATACCGTTGAAAAACCTATTTTTACCATCAATTTTTCTTTAAAAATGTTAATATAAATCATAATAAGTATTATATTGGTATATTGGTAGGTATAATAGGCGTGTCAAAATTTACGAATGTGTATATGCAAAAATAAAAATTCCGAACTTAACCATATTTTTTACAGTTGTAATCTTGTAACCATAAACAGTTAATAAAATTATGCAAACATGAAAACAATTAATCATTAAATTATGTTTATTAAATAGCTAAAGCTTTAATCTTCTTTACAAAATAGATATATAACATAAATTAATAAAAAAGTGTTACAAGGCGAGTTTTCATTTAAGATAGTTTTAGAAAAAATTGACGGGGTCAAAATAAAAAAATATATACACAACGGAGCTAGGAATTGAAGTGGTGCACAAAGTTTTATTTTTAAGATAGAAATTCATAGTTTTAATAATAGTTTTAAACGATTTTTGTTTATCAGAATCAATCATATAATAGTATATTAAAGAACTAATTTGCGACAAAAGGTCTTATGACATGAGTTCTTTATGCTATTTTATCTATTTTGCAAAAATTCTATAAAAAAATTAATTTTATACCTTAAACTTAATTTGGTCGAATTTTACTTTAGATAGTTGGTATCACAGTCATTGGTTTGACAGTTAATGTCAAAATCTTATTTACAATAAGCGGCTGTTAATGTTAAAGAAGAAGCGGCTGTTAATGTTAAAGAAGAAAAAAAGGATATTATGCTGTTTAAAGTATAGCCAACCTATAAAATCAAAATTTTGGGTGGGATAAAGTATCTCATTACAGCCCCGAAAGAGGTGTTATAATGAAGTCATTATGAACGCAAAATAGATAAAAGTCATGTCTCCAACGTTTTTCGCATGCACTTCACAAAAATATCCATAATAAAGGTTAAAGAAATCATTAGAACGCAAAATAGATGCCAAATTTAATTACGATTAAATATAATAAAAAACATGGGAAACGGTCTGGATTGATGGCCGTGTAACAAGTTCCACCTTGA